TAGATGGCAACCAGAAATGCTGGCTCACCTCTCTCTAGTTGGCATTTTATTGTATTACCATCTATGTTACAAAATGCGTTGTTGGGAATTGATGAATAATGGCTGTCAGGAGTGTGTTATACAGTACCTGAATCTGCCAGGGCACCTCAAGTCATACTGAGATGTTTGAATAAAAGGACTGCTTCCCTCTTTGCAGCATCAAGAAATCAAAGCCTTTAATTTTAGCCAGAGTATGTGATATTTTTACTTCATTTGAACAGATTGGTGTTTTTGTAGCTTGGTCTCTGAGAGGAAACAGTGCTCAAGATCTTAAGGCTTCATGACACCAAGAAACCAATGGGCATGCACAGTGCAGTCAGTGTGTTCTGGAGCAGGTGCTACACACAGTTCACACTCCTTGAATCCCTCTCCTGCATCAGTCTCCCTTTGGAAAGTTTAATTTTTGTACTGAATTATATCAGATTTCTATCTCTTCTGAGCAATCTGTAACAACAACCACATTATTCAAGATAATGAAAGAAACCTATGACGACAACCATGCTGTGTTGAAGGAATTTTTGGTGGTGCAGCTGTATCTGCCAGTAACAGTCTGAGGAAATTTCACCCTGCTGGAAACAAATTCAAATTACATGAAGAAAGATTGCTGTGGTATCTTTTTGAATGCATCTATAAATCTACAGAATGCCTCAGATAGATGGTCTACCTGGATTTAGTTGGATTCTTGCTACTGCCACATTCCAGGACTTTTTATGAGCCAAAAAGGAAGAACAATCTTTTCCTGCAGAAGCAATACATACAACATCACTATTGTTTAGAGCATAGTGTGTTTTCTTCTTTTGTGCTAGTTTATGTCCAGCACTCATCCAACAAGTCATGCCAGTGTTTTAGTATTCTGGTTTGAGTTTATGGTGTCAGGAATGGAGGAAAATGTGCTCTACCTTTATATTTGCTTATCTAACTTTTATCCATTTTTTAATGTTTTCTAGGATTCAAAAAAATCTTGGCAATTTCTCTATGTAAAGAGTTGTTTAAACTTTTAAGGAGGAAAAAAGGAGAAAATATTTTAAACTAATATTATTGAGAATTTTAGCATTCTCTTGAGAATGCAATGGGTCTTGCCGTTGATTTAAAGTAAGTAGTGTGTATGCTGTTAGAGATCATGAATATTGTATCATTAACAATAATGGTACAGTGTAGCTCTCAGTCCATTTAAATGACCTCTTTTAATATCATCTTAAGTTCACCTGAAAGAGCTTTTATAGAAATTTCTCTCTTTAAAATGTAATATTGTTAAAGTATAACACTGAATTTTAATTTCCATTCTCATATTAGGAGGATATTTTGTTCATTCTAGTGGATGATTTTTAAAATATTTTTCTGGGTTAATGGTATTCTTTAAGGCCATTGACTGCTAGAACATTTTAAATCTGAACAAACCTGAGTGAACAAGAAAAAAGGTCACATCAGTGTGGAATTGTCTAAAATCCATCTGTTGATAATCCATCAGGTTTGACCCATGCTGCTGGATTACAGCAGGATATGATGTTCGACTCTTGCAGTAATACCTCCTCTTTTAAGCATGCATTTCTAGAGTGAATTGTTTCCATTACTAGAAATAAAATGCTATCTCCACTCCTCAGTTTTTTATTCATGCAAGAAAATTGTCAAAATTTTGATTGTCATATTTCTGGGGGTTTTGTGAATTTTTTTACTATTATATAATTATACCAAAATGCTGACTTACAGTTTTAACATTCCTTTTGAGAGATGACTGGATTTTTATGAAAGAAATTTGCCTTAAAACAACCAAGTAAATAGTTAAAAAAAAAAAATTAAGGCACTTTCTTTTTTTTTTTTCCTTAGAACTAAATGGCTGAAGGAAAACATTGTTTGGTTTGTCTTTATTTCAGGGTAGGTCTTAGGTCAGGATCAATATTTAAAGTAGCGAATGCCAGCTTAGAATATGTGATTAAAATTGGCTTTAATGTTTGCTTTTCTAGTTCTTATGTAGCAAGATTATTCTTTTATCTTCAGATGGGATTTATTTGCTAAACCAAGGATTATATTTCTTCTGTTGTTGCCTCATCAAATCTGGAGAAAGATCATTCATCAACTTGGTCAGTATTTAATCTCAGTGGAAGTTTAGATGTTCAAGTGCCATTCTACATTCTTGATCCAGGCAAAACCAAATAATAGTCACTCATGTGAACTCAGAAGCAGGACAGATGGTAGGTGTGGTGACTATGTTTTGGTGATATGTTGTCATTAACCGACACTTATTTAAATTTTATCAGACCTGTCCCTTTTCTCTTTCTGAATGTGCCTGTAGAGACCTGAGCAGTATTTCAAACTGAGAGGTGTAAGGAGAGCATCAGGCAAATATAAGGTTTTCATATACAACAGTACTCTGAAGTTGCCATGCTTCTTTTTTTCCTTCCATTTGTTATTTGCACAGAAATATGCAAGGAGTGGTGCTGGATGGCAGTTCTTTAAGCATTGGCTGACTTGCAGAGTTCCTGACATAATACATATTTTTAAGAGTAGGTAAAAGGTCAATGTGACTACTAGCAGGGGAGTCCTGGAAAAAGCAGAACTTTGTATATATGCTTTCTTTACTTCCTCTTGAGCTTTCTAAACCACTTGTCTTGGTTAAATCTGTATCAGTAACACATGGAGTGTTATCAGCACTTGCTAACATGCATGTCAAATGGCACTCCCAAGGATCTAAAGACAGGGGAAGAAAGACAATATATTAATGCTGCCTGCCAGTGCAAACCTGGTTTGAGCAGGTAAATGCCCCTTGAGAGATTCAGCTGACCAAAAGTGAGAATATTAAACACTTTTCTTTTTTAGGAGTTTCAGAACTATTATGTTTTCCTAGAAGGATACTAATCTTTGCACTGAGTGTCCATACCAGATGACATGTAATGCCTGTATCTGAAACTTGAGAGTGAAGTAGCAGAAGATACTCTGACAAAGAATATCAGAAACTCAGTAAGAGCAAATCTTGCCACTGTCCCTAAAGTATTCACCTATTTCTGACTAAAATCAGACTTTCCATCAGCATTTTGAGGGCATTTCTCCACCTGTGCAGTCATAGAGCATAGGTCTGGTTTTGCCATGGCTGTGGCAACAGAATGGCTGCCACTGTGCTCAGTATTGTTGTCTAGTAAGTAATTTTTCCTATGGAGATAATGTCTGTTTGCTGAGGTACCTAATTTAATATCTCTGGATGTAAAACTGGTGCTTGTCAGGCTCTGCTAAATGGCAGGTTAAATTTCAGCACTAACAGAAAAGCTGGGTTATTTTCCTCCTGGTTCTCTCTGCATTGATCTAAGTCAGCAACATTCAGCAAAGCAAAAGTTTCTGAAATAGGTTGCAAGGTGCAATACCTGCTGCAGTGCAGTGCTTGGTGTGTGTGTGTAAAACAGGGGCTTGCCCTGGAGAGTAGTTGTACATACTACATAAATGAATGCACAACAAAAAAAATTCATTTTTTTTTCATCTGAGATGTGAGTTATTATCATTAGGACATGCTCCATGAAGTGCCTGAATTCCTCCAATTTCTCCTTGAAGTTTTACTTTCTACTGTGAATGCAGCATACAGATATTCAGAAGTTGATGTCTGAAATAGATGTGTGAGGATGGAGGCAGCATCTTGCCATGAGATTGCCATATGCAGAGCTGGTTAGGGACAGGTATCTATTTCACTGCATTATTCACCATTTGCATCTGCCTCTTGGTGGTCCCAGTTAGTGTGACAGCTATTGAATTGTTCCTGGCTGACAGCTGAATGGGCCAGGCATGCCAAAAGTTGCTGTTCCCAATTCATGGTTGAGAGCTTGTATGCACTTGTGGTTTGGAGTCTAATAAACTTTGCAAAGTATTAGCTTCAGGGTTATGACATTTATGAGGTATGAGCAAAGATAAAGTGCTTGTGTGTGTTTGATGTGGGGGCTCTGGCAGCAGTTACTTGAAAAACTGCTGACTGCAGTCTCCCCAAAGTGAAAATCTCCTGCCAGCAGATGATTCTCAGTTGAGGTTGTTGAGGGGGAAATTCCAGTGCAGCTTCACTTGAATATTGAGTGTACCTCAGTATTGGTTCACTTTTATTGACAGCTCCATCCATGTCAAGGTTTAATTTTTAAATGGCCTTTAGAATGAATTTCTGTTTAGTTTTTTGTGTAAAGGTAATTTTTATTGATGTTCTGGTTTTTAGATAGACTGTGGACTATCCCAAGATGCTTACAGTAAGACTTCTGTCTTGTAAGACCCATTTCTTCTCTAGTGCTTGGGAGCCCTCGTGTGATACACAATGAGCACCTAAATCACAAGATTAAAATCTTGGCCTTGGGAACCTTGAGCTGATGGAACTCTCTGAGCTGTTTCAGACACTGAATGAGTTACCAGTTACAAAAATCTCTCCTTTGCTGTTTGATCCCCACAAACTCTGGGGTGGCTTGCTTCCATTAATTGGAAAGTCTGTCAAGTAGCAAATTCATTAAGAAATAATCTTAACATGAGGGAGCAGGTGGCTGGGATTATTGGCAACCAAAGGAGTCACAGTGAAAAGAGTATTTGCATTTTCTCTTATATGATTTTGATATTCCTTAGCTACAAGCACAATTACGTGCTTGGAATGCATTACAAATATACCAGGGTGCTGCAAAAGCAGCTTAGTTGAGTGATACAGCTTTTCCAGGTTCAGTACTGTACCCTTAACACATCCAAGCAATCAGTCAGCTGCACAACAGACCTGTTTGAAATGTGGGAGATGGCATTTAACACAGTCCTCTTGTAGATGTCAATGTCCTTGAGCACATTGCCAGGTCAAGTGAGAATCTGGCCTCTGATTTTTAGTGAGAATGAAACTGCAGAGAATAACCTTCTCCCTGTGCACTAAAGAAAAAGTGGTTTTTTGCATTAGTTTTATTATTTCTGTGCTTTTATAGAGTTAAAAAAAAAGCTCCTGATAAGATCTATGTACATTCTGTTACCAGCTCTTCCATGTTGCCTATATCCTTATCAAGTTTGCAAATTCTCCTCGTCCAGATCTCTGGGTCTTGGAAAGATCAGTGGACTTTGGAAAATCTTATGTTCCCTGGCAGTATTTTGCTTGTAAGTATCAATCTTTCTGTCACTGGTCTTTTGGGGACAGGTTTCTTCAATAATCTCCTCAGTAGCAGCAAAATGAAACCATGGGGCTTGCTGAAAATTTCACCTGCAGAGAGGACAGTGAATGTTAAATACATTTATCTTGTCTTATTTAGCCACAATAAATTAGTGGTAGGAGTGTATGAGTGTGGTATTTTGGAAGTGTATTTCAGCACATGGATATTTTTCACTTTTTTAGTAATTTCTGGTTTGTTTTGTTTCTCTTGTTTTTTGGGTATGCCAGAACTTCAGTGTCCTTCATCCCTTGGGAACCTGGAGTTTCTTACAAAAACCGAAGTCAAATACAAATGCAAAATCTTGGAGTAGCTATATAGCTCTTTTTCTGGTGATGATATGAGAAGTACTGTGCCATGTCTTGTCAGGCACCACTGAATTGTTTAGGAAGAGAAATTATTATTTTGAGCAATGTCTATTACTCTGTGCTGACTGACACAATCACTGTCATTACTCTCTTATTGGGAGAATTTACCTGAAACCACAGAGGATGCCTCTCTGCTAATTTAAATTAGAACAATAGGGCCTACTTTATATAAAATTAATTTTGTTCTTGCTTGACTAGACTCGAGAGCAGATTGTTTGGAGCGCTTTGGAAAGGAAGCAAATCTTCCCGTGAGGAGGGACAGCGATGTCCTGTGCACCACCGAGTACTCTCGCATCGTGCCTCTTGAAAATGGAGAGGTAGGTGCTTTCAGGAAGTCATGTGTGATGCTGGAAGCAAACATCAATGGTTTCAGAAGTTTGTTGGGAGTAATTTTTTAGCTGTGACTCTCTGAATCTCCATCAGTAAGTCCATAACCTAAACCTCAGTGAGATTTTGGGAGCGTGACCTGACTCCTCCTAATTTTCACCATTATCTATTGGGGGTAGGGGCTGCTCAGGGAAATCTGTGTTGATATTTGTCATAATTTATGTACCTCACTATATTCATGTGCATTTGAAGGGGTTGACTGCATTTTCTGAATACTTCCAATGTGCATGGCAAAACTTGGTGCACCAGAATTGCTCATGTGAGTAAAGGCTGTAGGAACAGATATTTACCATTCAAGAAATAGTAGCTGTTAAAAAAAAATATATATATATATAAAAGAAAGCTACATGTTTATAATATAATAAAAGTATTTGGAAAACATTGGAAAACATAAAAAATTGATTTTAGCCCTTGTTGCTTGTTAGGCAGAACTGTGGCTTGTATTACTTGAATGAATGCTAAACTCCTGGATGTGCTGATGGCTCCTCCTGGCATTCTGCTCTTATGCCCAATGTTGTTAAAATCCAGATCTGAACTCCTCAAGAGTTATTCAGAGTTTTAAGCAGATTAAAATATTTTTAATATTAAAATAGAGCTTATTTGTTAAAGTATCTGTAAAATTTTCCTAATCAGATATTGTAAAGAATAATTTCCACAGAAGAATACTGCTGGTGCCATTCCCTATTACATGCTCTATGACTTTTCCTGAAGGAATTGTGCTGCAATTGGCACAATCATCATATCCTTGTTATGTGTTTGGGAGTATAGGAGCCATTTGAAAATAGTAATCTGTTATCTGGGTGGTTATAAATAAATTCAAGTTTTTACTGAGGCCTGTACGTACAAACTAGGTTTTTCATTCAATAGAGATTCATGATTGCTGGCAGCTGTTTCTTTAAAAAATGAAAAAGTATTGGATCCCTTGTTTTGGAAGTCAGAGAAACCTGCTTTCATGTGAGGGGATTTTCCAAAGCAACACTGTGTACTTTCTTCCAGAAGACCATTAATATGCTTGCAGGCACTGGACCTGTTAACAATAATATTTTCCAGGAATGTTTATGCTTTGACCCAAAAATAAATGTGCCTTGGGAAAGAGCCAAAATCTGATGTTTTTAATCAGGCTAAACTTCCATTGACACTGTCAACTGTTCAAACAACTACTTATAACTATTCCTATTGTTTATTTTCCAATTAAAATGTACTTTTTGCATGCTATACCTAGTGTTTTCAAAACAGATAGATGCATTTATTTTTTTTTTCTGATTTGTTATATGGATAATAAGAATACAGGAGGCTCCAATGCTAACAACACTATTTTTCCCAATATCCTGACTTTAGTATGAAACACCTAGTTATTACTGCAAATGTGTTCAGAAACAATAGTAAGTTTTTGGTTCTTTTATTAATTCAGCTCTATGCTGCTAATGGCAATTGCAGTTGATATATTTTAACAAGTGTGTGCTTACTTCTTTTTTAGATTGTAGTATCTCTGGTAAATGGCCGCCCAGGAGCAAAAAACTTCACTTATTCCCCTGGTCTTCAAGAATTCACAAAGGCAACAAACATCCGCCTCCGTTTTCTCAGAACTAATACTCTTCTTGGACACTTGATATCCAAAGCTCAGCAGGACCCCACTGTAACTCGTAGAGTAAGTACTGTTGTCACTGAGGTGTAAATACCCACCAATCATACCCAGCATGTTAGGGACCAAAAAATGGTCTGAATGTTTAAAGTTTGCAACATCCTGACAATGAGATTTGCATTGACCCACCTTGAAATCCCCATATTTTTATCCAGGTTTGTTTGAGACAGGAAGGTTACATGGATTTATGGAGGGGCAGTAATGATTAATGATTTTGTAACAGACCATTTTCACTCCCTGCTTTCTAATATGGAAGGACGCTGAGTGAATCATGGGAGCTGTAAGGAGCCAAAGCAAAATTATTCTAAATTATCTTATGCAGAACTGAACAACTAAAGCCCTTCAAATTTATTTGGCACTATTTTCTGGTGTTTACTCACAAAAGATTTTCAGAAAATAGTACCTGAGTTTATGAAGGAGCAGAAATCAAAGATTGTACTTGAAAGTTGCCCTCTTTCCACAAATAATTTGAGATGTCTGGGTGTTTTCAGTGCATTTTGGGCTATCCAAGAGCCTGAAGGACAGAGTTCCACTCTCATTCAGTGGGTAAATATAAGGAAATACAGGAACACTGCACAGAAATTAATATACTCACAGAGATTTCAGACTTCATATTGTATTGCTATTTTTAACCTTTTCATTTAAAATGAAGATTTGGTAACAATTGGAGGAAACCCTGGGGTGAGGCACCACACAAATGTCTGCACTGAAAAACATAAAGCTGTTCCAGTTATTTGACAGCACTTCCATCAAGCACCCTTGCTGCCTTAAGTAAATTTTAAGACTTTGTTCACAGGCAGAGATAAATGGAGTATGCAGTTTACTTGGCAAGCAGCACAGCTTTAGTGTGAGGAACTTCTGGTATTATCCTGGCTGTTGGTTGTAGGATAGCTGAATGAAATCTCAAGGGTTTTATTAAATTCCTAAAGGAGACTGCAAATTTTTATTGTAGAGACCTTCCAAATCTAGCAAACCTTATGTTGATATTTCTAACACAATACAAGCAAGGAATGATCTATACATACTTCTTGTGCTTGTTCCACAGTATTACTACAGTATAAAGGACATCAGTATTGGTGGTCGATGTGTTTGCCATGGCCATGCTGAAGTATGTAGTCCAAAGAGTGCTGAAAACCAATACCAGTAAGTAAACAGAGACTGACATTTATCTGAGAAAAACAATACATGAATGCTTTCAAATGACCTTTTCTTATTATAGAATTATGTATTTTTACAAGGATTTTTTTTAATATTAAAAAAAAATAGAACCTGCAAGAAAATATTGGGACATAGGTTGGGAAGAAAACATGTCAAAAGTGATTGTATGTGAAATATAATAATAGAAAATCTTTAGTTAGGTTTTTTGCTTTAATTGAAGTACAAATTTGGCAGATTGAATAATTTCTTAGAAACCCATAGTTCTTTGAGTTGAACATCACCTTCTGATGATGATATCATAAGACGTGAGTTGATATCACCTTATTACATCAGGAATTAGAAGTCTAACTCAGGAACAAAATCAGTCAACTTCATGGAGATATTGAGCACTATAACTGAGCTCATGCAAGATCAAATGGCTTTAGATCATTACTCTAAAAACATAAAAACAAACTGAATGGAGTATTCCCTTTCCTTGTCAAGTTTGTGACCTCCACGTTGATTTCACAGGGAGTTAGATCAGCTTCTTGGCTTGACTGCTACAGGGAAATCACTATGAATAATCAGCCTGTCTCAAACATATTTTAAAAACCTGCTTTAAACCAGCTGTTGCTCTTATCCATGCTGGCATTAAAACAAACTTTTATCAGGACGATGCAGTATTTTCAGTTATGTTTTAATGAAGAGTAAGTGGGGGAGATTGGTGCTTCCATTCCATGTGTCTGTGCTACAGAAAAATAAGTAAAGAAGGTGAGAAATCTATGCAAATAGGATGATTATTCTGGAAAGTTTTATTGCCCCTGTGTTACTAGACTACATACATAAGAGAAGAATATTGTAAAAGGCCTCCTGAGTCCCAAGGCCTTTGTTTCTCCAGGGATTCAGTTACTATGCAGGATGGTAAGACCTAGCTCATAATTAGACCCTGCTCTTTAAGTATGCTATTCAGCTAAATAAATCAAAAACCTCCTTACCTTTTGTTGGTGAACAGTGTTCACTATCTTAAAAATAACAAGATCAAGTTATGATCATGGTTTATTAAAAACACTGATAATATTATTATAAACAAAGCATAATGGAAACATTAAGAAAGCATGCATTTAAAGATGATAAATATTTTAATTACTGTAGGCCAACAAGCTTGAGCCTTGAAACAAAGTTAAAACCAGATACATCCTAAACTATTGTGTATCAACTTGATTTAATAATCTACAATAGTTTCATAATCTAGTCTATGGAATCCAATTATAAACATTTTCTATAAGTAATGTGTTCTAATAAACTCATAATCACACGATTAAAATAATCAATCTTGAAGAATTTTAGGAAAGTTCCAAATTGTACAAGTATTGCTGATTGAATTCTCTACATGTGAGGTTTATAGCCTATCCTTTCCATACTATATGTAAGTCTTGGACTGCAGTAAAATTAAGAAAAAGCTAATAAGTTTTTATTTAAAATCTTAAGACATAAATTTTAAGCCTAACTTCATTAAGAGGCTTTTATTTCTATAGGTTTCAGTGTGAATGTCAGCATAACACTTGTGGAGAAACCTGTGATCATTGCTGCCCTGGATATAATCAGAAACAGTGGCAACCTGCAACAGCTGGGAGCACAAACATATGTGAACGTGAGTAGCCACAAAGATAATGGGTTAAAAGAGATACTGACAAGAGGGTAGTAACTAGCTGTAGCACACGTGTTCATGGAACATCACCAGCATGCTTTAACACCTTTTTTTTCTGCACAGAGAAAATACTTTCCATACAGGAATAAATAATCAAAACTGCAGTGAATATTATTAATGTTCTTCTTTCTTATTAAACAGTGAAAGTAATAATTTGTGTGAGAATATGACATGAGAAAAGTAGAAGACTTTTTGTAGAATGTTGAGTCAACATTTCTCCCCAGTCATAACTGTCTGCTGACAGAATCTGGGTCTGCAAGCAGAGCAGAGACCGTAGGCATCTTGTACATCTCCAAAATGTTCCTTTCCATCACCTGGCCTCTTGGTGTTTGGATCACAGAGAGTTTGCTCGAGGCTGCCACTGCTCACAGGTGCTTGAGCTGCCCTCGCTTCCCAGGCTGAGAGCTGCCCCTCACTGACCCTGTGCCAGTGGCACAAAGGTGTTTGTGGTGGGGAATCCTGGCAATTCCACACTCGTATCTCTTCCCATCCTTGTATTTGGGTGTTTGGAGGATGTTAGCCCTCCAGACTGAGTAGTCAAGCTGGAGAAGCCCATTCATTTGCCCTTCTCCCACTTTCCCTGTGTTTAGTTCTTAAAGCAAGTGACAACATGGACCCTCTTTTGGTGATGGGTTTGTACTGTCACACGTGGGTGTTTTGCATCCCCCTGGGTAGAAACCAGGTGGGCTGGTACAGAGCATTGCAACCTCTGTGCACAATCATTTCCTTTGTGTCTCGCCCAATTTATTTTTCTTGTCTGCCTTTCCTGAGAGTAGCATAGCCAGAACAAACTCTTTAACAGGAGAACCTTATTTGAAAGCCAAGGAGATGTACCTATATAATTACTCTGAGGAATAAAGAGATAGCTTGTTTAATTAAAACTGCAGTACTAAGACTTGGGAGGGGAGAAGGAGTTTGTGTGTGATTAAAATGTTTGATATGAGGTAGGCATGTTGGGACACAGTTTTTGAACAATATTTGAAACCTCATTCAATTCCCCCTCTTTAAAAGAAAAACATTTTTTGCCAGAAAAGAGACAGACAAAGAGCATAAATAATGTCATGTTTTTTGAAGAATGAGTGTATAGAAGATCACCTACAAGATTCTGAGCCAAAACCACTTCTTTTCTAACTACTTCTGAAAAAATATCCTTTTTAGTTTAATATCCTTTTAGTATGGATTGCTCCTAGCAGTTTTAGGTGATTTGTTGAGAGCATTTGCCAGGTGCAGGCTTCTTCACCTGGCAGCCAGTAGTGAAGGAATTAAGACAACTTATTCAACATTCCAGAAGCCTGAGGTTCCTTGAGAGAAACTGATGGAAGGAGGTTGGTGGGAGCTTGTAGGAATCAGCCCAAAATTTTGCTGAGCTTTCCAGTACATATGGATCAGCAAATGGCCCAAATGGTGTGAAAAGGTGCTTGATGAGGTAGCAGGGATTTCTATTCCCCTATAAGTGAAAATGCTGCTACTGTAACCAGAGCAAATAATTTCCCATTGCTGTTAGAAGACATAGCTGAGCTGTAGCTCACAGGTGGTTTGGCCCTAGAGGCAAGAGAGGTTTTATTTACATTGTAATTATACATATATATTTATAATATTATCTTTTTTTCCTTTTCTGACTTAATATCTTAAACCAACATCTCATTTATGAGATGTTTTATTTTCTTGAAGAATTTTATTAGTAAGAAAACCCAAAAGTCTTTGTAGGCTATTACATCCTGGTTAGGGAACCGAGTCTTGAACCCTGTCCAGTTCTTGTCAGCAGACCATAAGGGAGCCTGATGGCAGGGCACCTCCTCAATGGTGTGGTTGGTGATTTCTAGGAAAAGGCTTCCTTATCCACAATTCTTCAGATAAAAAGACATAGAGAGAATGCAGAGAATGATGCAGTTTCTCTTCTCATGTCTCTATGATTATGTAACAAGACATGGAGAATCAGTTGTCCCTGAATTGTCCTCCCGGTAGTGCCAGGAACTTGGAATAGAGCTTGGAAGGATTACCTTCGATATGCTTCCCTCATCCTGAAGAATGGGCAGAGCCCTTAGCTTCTGTAACCCACTGTCTTCCAGAGGTTCATGTCCCCTGGTCCAGATGAAGGGAGTATTTCCCTAAACATGCAGTAATAGCTTTATCAAGTCATAACTTTACGAATTTCCTGGGAAAGCAGTTTCCTGTAATTTAAAGATCAGCTAGCACCCAGATGCTTGGGGAAGCATGTTTTTGCTACCTGCATTCTTTCAAAAATATTCCCATTTGCCTCTACATCAAAGAAGGAAAATCAAATTAAAAAAAAAAAAAAAAAGAGGACATTGAATGAATTTATGGCACTTTGGTTTATTCTATTTGTTTGTTGTTATGGTTGGCTTCTAATCAGAATTATATTATAGTCGAGTTTGCTGCTATATCTGTAGCTACAGCTGAATATGAGAGTTCTTTGGAGTAGGTCTTTTTATTTAATGTATCTTATCTATAATTGTTAATTTTAAATAAAAGCTTTGTACACATAGCATCAGTCCAGATGTATTTTTGAGATGTAGCAAAATAAACATTTGAATATGTTTTTGATAATTAAAAAGAAAAACTACTGTGACCATTCTTCTGGAGTTTCCTAGTTCTGCATTTATGCATAATTATACAGTTTTGAGATAGTACAAGTGTTGCTTTCTCTGGTAAGACTAGCTGCACGTTTTCTTCATGTCCACATTACTGTACTATCTTTCTGTTATGAAAATCCAGTTGTTTATAGCTAAGTGTGTGCTTTTGAGTATACTTCAGCATGCCTGAGTGTATGTACACACATAAAAAAATTCTAATCTACTTTTATACCTCTGCTGGAAGTAAATGCTAGAGATTGCTAAATTCCAGCATTATAGAGAAAGCTGACCTGGAACATTACTTTTTCAGCCTGCAATTGCCACGGACATGCCACTGATTGCTTCTATGATGCTGATGTCGATCAGCAACGAGCAAGCTTAAACATCCATGGGCATTATGAAGGTGGAGGAGTCTGCATTAACTGCCAGGTAAAAAGGTCATTTTGATCAGTTTAGAAAAATGCTCACACCAGTAGTTTTGGGTCTGACCAGTCCAGAAAAGACCATTTGTCTGATGGTTTTACTACTTGTACTCAAAGTGTGGAAAAAGGTGCGTGAAAATAATTTACCTTGTTTAATATTGCTTGGTAATGTGTAAAAGACACATAAAAATTGTATTTATGCTCAGTCCTGTGTGATCCAAATAAAACCACACAATCAAAGCAAACAATTTGATCAGCTATAAAAATTCCCTTTCCTGTTGTAGCAAACTCTGCCATTTCCCTGCTTAACTGAAGGAAGTAAAATTAACCAAATAAAATGTCAGTTCAGGCCAGCTGGTTCCTTGCTGTGGCAAAACACAGAGGACTCTTTCTCATCAGCAGAAATAAAGGAGGATCTAGACTATACCAAGACAGAAAGTTATAGGTATTGGGAAAGCACAGAATCATAGAAGAGCCTTCTGGAATCCTTTTGGACTAGTGCTCCACTCAAACTAAGGCTGAATGCAAAATTATATCTTCTTGCACTGAGAAACGTCCAGTTGAATTCTGCAAATTTCTGAGAATGCACTTTACACACACTCTGGGTAACGTTTAACAACACTTAATCATACTCCTGTTCTGTAGGAATTTCCCCAGTTGCAGCTTGTGATAGTTGGCTTTTGGGCTTCAGCTGTGCTTACATGAGAAGAGTTGGTTCTGTCATTTGTGTAGAGGAAAGATGCCTTAGGTAGAGGAAAACAGCCATTAGGCACCTTCCCCCTCCACACCAACCAAAGTCATTCCCTCAGGGGAATGAGCTTTCTAAATGTCCTAGAGGCTCTATTGGATTGAATCAAAAGTTGTGAATTTGGAATCAGAGACCTTACACTGTGTGTGTCATAAATGGATAGCACATTGTTGGAAAGAGCAAGAATTTCTTTCGTTCTGATTTTGTTCTACTCTGGCAATGACTACAAGGAAAGATCAAATAAGACTCTGATAAAGATCTAATCTGGGCCTTATCTCTGCAAGACTGAACTACTTGACCTCCTGATGTCCCTTACAATCTGAGTCATTCATTAGTTCAGTGATCTCGTGGTTAAATAAATCCAGACTTACTTGGAAGTCTGTCTTCCTTTTGTTATCAAGTCATCTGATGTATGACAAGCAGCTGACCAGAATTTTGCTTTGCAGAAAAATGATCATCAATTCTATGTTCCTATGAAACCTATGCATCATGATTAAAATGTTGTGCATTTTAAAATATAGCTGTATTTAAGCAACAAAAAAGGCAAATATCCAGTGTAGACTATATTTTCCATATTTTTGCCACAACATAATCAGGTATTGTCCAAAAGGCAGAAGAGAATAGCGTTATTTTTACTAACATGAGTAGAAGAAGTGTTCTTTGTCTTCCCATCAACATTTCTGTGCAGAACTTTGTTCATGCAGTCTAGTAAGATTTACCATGTTGGTCCTTTCTATCAGCTCTTTGTTTACAAAAGAACATTTCTTTTAATACTGCTTCAAATATAGAAAATAGCAAAAATAGTCTAATCTACAAATCCTGATACCAATTGTTTTAATTAATTTTAATTTTTTTAAATTAGGTTGGATTAAGTGAGTTTACTATTAATCCAATTATAGCTTTCTTTTTTTTTTTGTTTTGAGGAAGGGTGTTTGTTGGGTTTGTTTTGGGTTTGGTTTTTTTGTTTGTTTGTTTGGGGTTTTTGTTTCTGTTTTCTGTTTTCATTGGCAAAACAAAGGGCATGAATTTTAGTTTAATTTTTCTGTTTGTGTCAGGGGAAAGAAAAATTTTAGGAATGGATGCCCAAATGAAGAAGTGATATAAATTAAGTGTTGCATACAAAGATAATATCAGTTTATTTAGAATAAGGTGACAAAGGAGCTCTGGAAATCACACAATCCTACTCAGAGTAGGTCTAATTAGATCAGATTGCTCAGGAACTCGTTCTTCCAAGCTTTGAACACCTCCAAAGATTGGAATGCCACAGCTACTCGTGGCAACCCGTTCCAGTGTTTGACTGCCTGCATGACATATTTTGTCTCCAATATCTAATTGACATTTCCCATGTTTCAGTCTGTGCCTGTTGCCTCTTGTCCTTTTTCTTTGCACCTCTGATGGGAGTCCGGGTCCATCCCCTCTGTATTCTCTGATCCTGTAGTTGTTGGTAGCAATAAATTCACCCTTTTCTTCTTAACGCTGAAGAAACCCAACCACCTTCTTGGATGTCATGTGCTTCTGTCCCTCACCATCTGTGTGGGTCTGCCCACAACACCTGTTGTCGTATCACAGACTGGGTCCATGTGGTTGATTTGGGAGTATTTTGCCCAGGTAAACTATGCTGGATATGTCCCATCACCTCCTTGTACTTTGACTGTTCTAAATGTGTTCACTGGCTCTCCTTCCCCACTGAGCAATTGGCCTCTTCCCCCATCAGCTTTCCTTTTGCTGCTCCTCTATGCTTGGAATATTTCTTTTTACATATCACCTTCCTTGCTAGTTTTAACTCTGCTAAGCTTTGCCGTTCTTAAGTCTACTTTTGCATATTTGGGCAATGTCTTTGTATTGCCACCAAATAGCCTGTCCCTGCTTTCACCTTCCATGCACTTTCTTTTTGAGTTTGAGATCAGTCAGGAATTCCATCTGTGCTGGCCTTCTGCCATGCTTGCATGTTGGAAAAAACTGTTCTAGTTCTAGTCCACAAGAATCAACTCTCTTGGTCCCCTTTCCTACGCAGGACACTTTCACACAGGATCTTCTTAAGCAGCTCTCTGAGCAAGGACAAATCTGCTTTTCAGAAGCCCAGAACTGTAATTCTGCTATTTGTCTTGTTTACTTGTCTTTCTTTCGTGCATTCAAAATAGCTTCTGGATTACTTTTTTTAATTACCCTGCTGTGTTGTCCATCTGGCATCTTCCCAAAGCTCTGTCTGGGCTAAGGCCACTCATGTGCCACTGGAGTGAGCAGTGCTGAAGAACTTGCAGAGTCCTGAGTGCCCTGCTCATGAACTGCTCACCAGCCCATGCAGGAAATGCTGTGTCCCTGAATTGCAACATCCCCTAAGGAGGAACTAAACAGGGAGTGGGAGCTGGGGGAATTGTTTTAGTTGCTCCAGGGCAGAGCTTCCTGCTCTGGTTCCCTGGCACTTGTGTCTGTGAGCTCATCAGGGTGCCTCATGACCATGATTTACTCAACTTGTACTTGCCATCACTGCTCTAGTTCAAATTACTTAGGATTTTTTTTTCTGGTATGCCTAAACCACATATTTATAGAGATATATACTTTTCTAGTGGAAAATCTATTTTGTGCTGGCTGGACTGTTCAGTTTTTGGTTTTTTTTGTTTTTGTTGTTTTTGGCCCCAGGTTGTTCGGAAATTTATTTTTTGGGTTAGGAAAAATTTATTTTTGCGTTTTTTTGACCATTTTTTCCTTAGGAAGGTTTTTTTTCCATTTTTTTTTTAGGAAGTTGGCTTAAAAGGGGTTCTTTTGGGTTTTAAGGGGTTTTTTTTCGAAGGTTTTTTTTTCAATGGGAGGAGGGGTTTATAGTGCTTTAAGAAAAAATTCAGATGCTTTATGTGAGAATACCAGGATTCAGAGCCCTGTAGAGAACAGATGGTTAAAGAACACTACATGATGATTGATTCTTTATTACAGTCATATTCAATTCTTTTCCCCCTCTTAGTTGTATATAGAAACAGTGTAAAGGATGTTATTGTTTCTTAATTCTTCCAAGTTCCTCTCCTTATCTTGTCTTATCGTTTTGTTTTATTTTGCACAGCATAACACAGCTGGGATTAACTGTGAGAAGTGTGCAAAAGGTTACTATCGTCCTTATGGTGTTCCAGTGAGAGCTCCCGATGGTTGCATACGTGAGTCCTTCTCTATGGAGTATCTTCTCCTGGTGGCTTGAGGGGTTTGGGCTATAATCAAGGCATAGGATGTGTCTTTTGGGGGAAGAAAAAATGAAAAAATGGTCAAAAGATGTTGGAGAGGAGCTACAAATTAAATTCTGTGTTGCTTTAAACCTTTTAAATTATATTCTTCTCAACTTAGTGTCATATGAGCTTACTCAGAACAGCAGAAAGATAGAAAATAGGCCATAAAAGGGTACGGAGGAGATAGGACCATGGAAACCTGGGATATTGCTACACACCCCGCAGTGAGGAGGACCTCAGAACCCCTGGGAAACCATTCTCATCTCCTGTTCTTGTGATCTTGTTTCTCTTAGCTCTCTGATGTACATGTGAGCTATCTTTTGACCCTTGGTCACTTGAAAATTTTATTCTATAGCTCAAAAAAATCACAAGGATCACGACTCTGATCTCATGCAGTGCTGAGCCCATCGACTAATAAGTGATGCAATAGGGTAATTACTGATAGAACATTTGAAAAAGAACCGATATAGGTAAGAGGAAAGTGTTGGATTACAAGGAGGCTGAAGGAGCCATGTGATAGGAGGTAGGAGGAAACTACAGTTATGCTGTGCTTGGGGATTGAAAGGAGTGGGAAAGCAGCAGAGCTTTGCGTGTAGTGTGTAAATGAAAGTGAATAGTGTGGTGCTTAGCCTAGACTACAGAGAGAGATGAGTGGCTGCCACAGAAAAATAGCTGTGGAGGAACAACATGCAGCTTTTGGAATTAAAAACTCCTAAATGCTCTAAGAAAATAACATGGGTTTTTCTTTTAAGGGAGGTATTGGTGATATGTAAAGACTTGGGAAATGTTAAGTCTTTAAATAATGAGTCATTCACATCTGCAGGTTTGTTGTTACAATGCCATTGTGCACTGCTGTAAAAGGCCAATTGATTATTTTTTAATGAGTGCCTAATTGCTGATACTTTTACTTAGCCTGCAGTTGTAACTTGGAGCATGCAGATGGCTGTGAGGAAGGGTCTGGCCGCTGCTTCTGTAAGCACAATTTCCAGGGAGACCACTGTGAACTCTGTGCTGATGGATTCTATGGTTACCCATTTTGTGTCTGTAAGTATACAAGTAAAATTCCCTCTTTTTCTGCATTAAAGAGTGAATGGTTTTCATTGCTTTTGACTTGGTTAAAAAACATCTGGTATTTCAGCTTCACATGTTTATATGTTCTGATAAATCAGTTCTTACAATACTGAAGAGAGTTGGGTTTATTTAACAAAATAATAGTGACTTGAAAAACAGAGATTGTGCTGCATTTTCAAAATTTTGAAATCATTTGAGACATCAGGTTTACAGCCTGATGAGTAACTTGTGAACTCACTGAATTGTGAACTCCAGTCCTAAAGTCCTGAAAAAATTGTTTAAACGTGTGTCAGGATTTTTAGGAATAAAGAACACCTGCACAGAGAAGTAGAACATGACTGTAATGACAGAGAGGGGAGAAAAAAGGTATGTGTTCTCCTTGACACCTCCTAGAATGTGGAACTTGCATCTCTGATAAACAGTGCTTTTCCTATAAAAATTACATCTGAAATAACTGAGCAGAAAATGTAGCATCAGGATTGATACATAAAAGCTTCCGACTCCATGAAAAGATTGCAGAAATGCACCAATGGGATGTTTTGTGCCTTCAGGAAAAAAGATGTGTGTTTCTGACAGCTGGCAAAAAACAAGTGTTGCTCTGGGGCAGGATCTGAGCTCTGACTAGAAGAGAAGTACCACAATGGAAACACAAGAAGAGGGAAAACAATACAAAACAAAGGAAAAAAAGACAAACTGTGAAAGCTGAATGTTGTTTGAATTCAATGGCTGTGATAGAATAGTGTCAATACACTGCATTCACAACTCATATATCTTCTTGATACACATATATCAGAACTCATATCACAACTCATATATCACAACTCATATATCTTCTTGATTGAAATCTGACATTTTTAAATTAGTTCAGCTCAGGTAGACATTGATTTGAGTCCCAGTGATGTGTGTAGCTCATTAACTTTAGATTCCATGTCAATGCAAGAAAATTTAAGAATAGGAAAGACAATCTGGAGGACTCTCCAGTACATCTTACATTAAGATGTACATGTCATAAATTATGGCAGTTTGTGTAGCAGGTGGTAATGCCACATAGAAGGAGATGGACCTTCAGCTGGAAGCAGGAAATCTGAAATAAATACAAAGATCCTTAGATAATTCTCACAATGCTGTCTAGTGTAAGAAAGCTTTCTGTACAAAAGGATAAGGAGCAGGAAAGCAACCTGCTGGCATTTCCAAATGGTGTCTGGCCTTTCATACTGCTTTTTTGAGATGGGAACCTTGTATCTGAATTGGGAATCAAAAGTGCTAAGTCTCTTACCTCTTTCCTAAGAAAAACTGAAGTTTGTTACTAAGCTGAAGTTGGTTACTAGAGTCATATGAATATCATGCTCTTGGTATTGATGGTAGAGGATTTCATTTTTTGCCATGATTTTTAATGTGTTTGTTTCAAATGTTCCTTGTTGTTTCTTTTGTTTTAAAGATGCTCCTGTATATGCTTCTACTTCTTCAATTCCAAGTGATGGTGTAGCTGGTGACATAATAGGCAAGTTCTTGGTGGTTTTCCCCCATTTCACTGTTTTTCCTCATGTTGCTATTTTTTACTGTTTCAGTGGTGCCTGCTCTTTTGTAGAATACTAGAATAATTGAGTTGATTTTTAGGTAGCAATTTTGCCTCTGTTGGTATTTATCTTTCAAGACAACTTTTGTTCTTGCCAGAAGTTCATCATACTGTCACATTTATACCAAACAGTTAGGTGGGCTATCTCCAGAAAGAGTTATGGATCAAAATAACTTCAGCGAGCCCCTGGCAAACATCTGCAGGAGGAGCTGACCATCTTGTTTGGTGCACTTAAGAACACATCCATCAAGTCTTTCTGACATGTACAACTTTCTGACATGACAACCACTGCTTTGTGGTGTAAATCTCTTTCTTGACGCTAACTGGCCTCTGCCTCTGGACTGTTCTCTCTCACCTGGCAAATTGTATGTTGCTCTTGGCAGTGAAGGACTTTGATTTCTAAGAAAGCTTCATATTTCTTGTTTAGCCCACTGCAAAACTTCCTGAAATCCATAAAATTATTCCCTTGGTGGGCTTATATTTTTTAGCCTATATTATCATTCTGCACAACAGAGATATCATCACAGCTAGCACTTAATCACTTGCATACATATAATGCACTTAACCTTGGTACAGCATCCAAAATAATTTCCCTGGTAGGTCTCTGAGTTGCATATCCCCTTTTCCCACAAATTTTTAAAAGGAAGAAAAAAAAAATCTAAAGGAAAGTGAATCAATATAACAGGAGAAAACAGATCTTGAGCTCTTTACCATTTAAACAAGCAACATCTGAATTTCAAGGCATAAAAAAGGCATCTGCCTCTAAATGGAAGTTTTAGTAGAAGTTGTACATTTTTGCTGTCAGACTAAGCACAATTGCAAATTGTGGTTTTTTGAATGAGATTTTGCACGTAAGACTCCTACAAATAGGGTATTTTTATTCAAGAATAATATTTACTAAGTACTGATCTATTTTTTGCTGCAAAATTACAAGGAATTCAGGGATTATATGCACTCACTTTCTTTTTTTCCTTTTTCTTTCCTGTTTTAACTAGAAGGAGGCTGCAAACCAGGGTATTTTGGCCCACAATGTCTGTGTAAGTGGCGTAGTTTCTTTGACACTTGGAGCCTGTGCTCCAGGATAAATGCCAACTTTTGGCTTCCAAAGGAAATAAGAACTTTAAGATCATAATGCTGCAAATATTTTCTTTACAAATGTGCTCTTCAGCATGCCAGTGCCACGGTGCAGGAGTGCTGGGCAGTGACTGTGATGGAAGTACCGGGCAGTGCAGATGTCGAACTGGATTTGCGGGGTTATCCTGTGATACCTGTGCAGCTGGCTACTTTCAGTACCCCTTCTGCCAGGGTAAGCCAAACATTCTCTTTTGGCAAGCATATCCAAAACACCAAGTTTTATACTGAAGGATGAAGTTATTTTGCCATAGAGATGTATTCATAACAGGCGCTCCCAAAACTCACAAAAGTCAAAGAAGAATAATGTGACGAGGGGAGATTTTGATCTAAAAATTCCCGTTTCCTTGGTTGCTGTCTGCTGTTTGATGCAGCTGCCAGACTTTAGTTTGTGCTTGGATTTAGCAACGTTGATTAAACTTAGAATAAATTTGGAAATATTTCTGTTACTTATTCTTGTTTTTTTTTTTTTACAAGTTGTGTTTAATATGGGTTTGCAACGTCACTTTGATGCACCAAGCTACCCTATTTAATAAATACTAGAAAACTGACTGGTTTTGAACTTTAATAGCTGTTTCTTTACAGTCTTTTTAGGTTATTTATTGACCACTCCCACTTGAGATTGTAAAGCTAAACAATGAATTGTTTTGCTTCAATCCCATAAGTGATGGAACTACTCTCGATAGTTGGCAAACCACTTGGGACTGATAAATCAGACTCTCAGTGGGACCAGGCCAAGTGTAGTGCTTTGACACCAATAATTGAACTTTGAACCTGCTTCCTTGCTCTTTAATTTATGTTTTCTTTGTTCCTGAATTGTTGCAGATGTGAGCAATCAATAAAAGCTGTTATGAATCCATGTAAATCTGATGGGAAAATTGTTGTCTTGTTGAGCATCAGGGAGCAGGGAGTTGCTTTTACTTCTCTTTTTTTCAAATGTATTTTTATTTTAAGAAAGACAAAAGAAGAGAGCCATACAGAGGCTGCCTCTGAAATATCTTTTCTCATTGGCAGTGTGTGAATGTAACTTGTTGGGTACCCAGCCCGAAGTCTGTGATTTTCTTGGGAGGTGCCTTTGTCGCTCAGGAGTTGCTGGACTTCAGTGTGACAGCTGCCAGCCTGGCCACCACTCATTCCCTGCCTGTCAAGGTAAGGCTGCTGATCGCATATACAGCATCAAACAGGGCCCTGAAAAGGCAGACAGCAGTGCTTTCCAGGACAGCAGCCAGAGCAATGTTCACAGCAGCAATTGGGCAATTTCTTCTTGTGCTCTAGAGTGAAATCTTCATATATTTTAATTCTCCAATTTCAGGCCTTTTTTTATCCTTGTGGTCAGACTGTTTGATGTACCCTCAGTCAGCACAGCTGTCTAACTAATAACCAAAGCATTTGAGATCTGTTCTTACATAGAGGCCCACAGCAACAGGTCACACTTGACTGCTGAGGAACCAGCATAGCAGAACTGTGAAGCACTGGTCTGCTTTTGCAGGGAGTATTTGGTACCTTGTTTGGTACCACAGTTTGGTACCATGTAAAAGGAGTGTTCTGCAAATTTGAAAATCTGAAGCTCTTATTTTGCCCTTCGTGGTAGTTTCTCACTCATTTTCAGATAATTTGACAGGAGCTAACCCAACCTGTGTCCACGTAGGCATGAAACCTGAAAGATCTCTTTGGAGTTTCCCACCAAGGACTATCTTGCTTTTTTGCAAGACAAGGAAATTAATAGAGTATAACTTTTGAGTGTCATAATGGATTTGTGTGCTTATGAGGACTTCCATCAACTCCTCATTGGCCCTAGGTTTTGTCTGTCTTTAAAGTGAATGAGAGAGGGAGCCCTTAATCCTTAGTAATTTTTCCATTGAGAAAGAATATTGCAGATTTCTGGTATGTGTTTTCCTGTGCTGATTAACAAGACTTATATATAAAATAATGATTTGCTTTCTTCTCTCTTGTTATTTTTGGCTGTGGGCTATGTCAGTCTTATTCTTTTGGGTTTTTACAGTTGTTTATCTCCTATACAGGGACAGCAGAATTCTTTATACCCTCATGCCCTGATTTCAGCTAGGGTAGAATTAATTTTATTCCTAGTACTGAGTATAGTGCTGTTTTACCTTTTTTCCCCATCCCTTTTTACCTTCTCCCCATCCCATAGGTGGGGTGTGAGTGGTTGCTTATACTTAGTTGTCAGCTGGAGTTAAACTGTGGTACCTTGCAAAAATGAGCTACGTTGTGTTACCAAACACAATGGGTAGAATAAAGAAACACCATATGATTGTGGGTTTTATGGTCTGGAGTAGATGAACATTTTTAATGAAAAACATAAAATCAGGATTCTGCATTGGTACATGCTGTTCAGTGGTTTTAAAATAACCTTTTTTATTTTCATAGAGCAAAATCAAGTAGCAATCTTGAAGCAAATCAAACCCATATTGAATATGTTTGATCTTTGAACACCAAAAGCTGAAAAGAGACATAAAAGCTTAAAAGAGCATGCAAAAACAAATTGTAAAAGACAGATAAAAATACTTGAAAAGACAGTCAGTGGGATTACTCAGAACTGCTGCATTTCACAGTTTGTTCAGTTAAAAAGAACTGCCATGGGTTTAAACATAAATTAACACAGCATGCTGCAAGCTGTGGGAGAAAGTGAGCAGCCCAGCCTGCTACTCCGGTAAGGAATTGCCATCTTCAAAAGAGAGACAGATCTATATTTTTTGGGCTGCTGTGACTAGAACTAATATCTCTGGTCATGACTTGTTGAACTCAATAGAAGCTTTATTCAAATAAAGTGATATCAAAACAGAGCCTTTAAACAAAACACTAATACTTAAAATTAGGAGAGAATGATATACGATAATCAAATTATGGGTGACTCTAGTGTAGGTATTGTTCTTGGAAGCTTCAGTGTTTATATTTCTCTTACACTAACTTCCTAGTAAGCCCTGTGTCTTTCCAAGCATCTTTAAAGTAAACACAGCAAAGTCAGATGTCTTTGACTGCAGCAGAAAGAGAAACCAAAAGAGGGAACCAGAAACATGAACATGTAACAGGAAGACAATGTTTGCTTTATATCTCTGTCAGTCAGCCTTTTGTGGTTAACTGCATCCAAGTGGTTAACTGCAGAACTTCATCTTGTACCTGGGACAGCTGGGATGCCCAGATGGGGTCCCATTCCTGTACCTGTGAAGTGTGACCTTGTGGAACATTCCAGAATCATCTCAAGAAAATAGCAGGGCTTGTCTTTAGCTGTTAGCCCAAAATAGTGGTAACTCCATGAGAAGTTCACTGTTATAGCTGACAACATATACATATTGAATATATTTTTAAAGGTTTTTTTTTTAAGCATTTCTCTCATGTGACATTCTTCCAAAATGTAAGATGGATTTATATCCCTTACATGTGTTTTGCAAGGCATCAAACACATTATAGCTGTGAGTTACAGGACTGCAAGAACCAAGATTTTCAGTGGTTGAGGTCAGAATTGCAGAATAACCGTCTGTTTTGGGATATTTATTTTTGCTGGTAAAATTATGGGTTGTCTGGTTTCCTGAATGTAAATGATTGACTTACATTCAAAGGTAAGTTTTTTGACAAATTCTAGATTTAGACATGTATCTGTTATTTTTTTTTTTTCTCTGTGCAGCGTGCAGTTGTGATGCTGTTGGCTCTTTGGGGAATACCTGTGGTCCTGGAGGGCAGTGTCTGTGCTGGGGTAACTATGCTGGGCTGAGATGTGACCAGTGTGCTCCAGGCTATTACAGCTATCCCAACTGCTTGCGTGAGTAAAAGCCTTCCCTACTTTTACCAGGGTTTTCTTTCCTATTTCTGCAACAGGGAAGAAAATAAATCTTCTCAAATATATTTCCATTTAAAAGATTTCAATTTTGATGGCACAAGAACTTTAAGAAAATATCTGTCTGTTCCATAAGTTAGTGCTCTGTTTTTCCAAGTGACTGCTTTGCATACAAACTCAAATACTATAAATCAGGCTAAATACACATTTTAAAAATCATTACTAAAGGCTTCTGCTGTCTTGGAGTTTAAAGTATTTGAGTCTCTCCAAGGTAACCATAATAAAAAGCCCTTTCAAGTTCATACTGGCTACATTGTGCTTCTGCTCTACTACATTCCACAGCCTCTGTTTTCAAAAGATCTTTCAATGTGTTTGTTTTATGAAGGTGTCAACAGCGAGTGTGACCCTGCAGGTAGCGTTGGTTCTCACTCTGTAAGTATTCTGCCACTGCAGCTAACAGTGCATGTTAATAATTCATGTGTCTTTGCTGAGCACATCCAGCTCATTGCTCAAGCCCTGAAGCCTGCTCTTAGGATCTAGAAGAATTGCAGGTGATTGTTTGAAGAGTAGGAGTAGAAATGAACTGCATGTTTTGTTCTTTGATCCTACCAGTGCAAAGCCTTGTCAAGGATGGGGGGGTTTGTCTTTTATATATAGAATATGCAATCTGTTTATGTCTTTTTTGTATACTCTTAATACTAACATATACATGAAGATGCAAGCCTGTGCATGTCTCAAAGACCTTGTGGGTCTGGCCTGCAGCAGGCCTTCAGGATCAAATTATTCTTGAAAAATGATTACATCTTTGTTGCCATTCCACTATTATTGTTATTAATATGATGATGGTTATTAGTAATTTCTTATTACCAGAAATTACAGGTATTGTTAAATGTGTGGCAAAGACCACCTAGAAGGTGAGTCTGATGGGTGGTAGGAGTACCTGTGTAGGCTTCTGTGTATCCTCCACCAGTAAAGAAAAGATTAAATATGAAAATTAATTAGTATTTTTAAGGAAATATGGGGTTTATTCCTTTTGGAAGCTAGTTAATACTTTAGAGCAGTTCTAATAAAACTATAGAAGAATTGGAAAGTACATCCTTTGGGACCCTCAAAATAAATTAGATACATACAAAATATGCAGAGTGGAACAATCCTGTGCTGATAGTGTGAGAAAAAAAAATCTAAGATGTCTGGATTGGCCTGAGATCCATGTATCTATAAAAGTCAGTAAACTGAATGAGCTCTTAACAATATTAGGTTTTTTGTAGTAGCAAAAATCAGTAAGTTTTTTATTAAGCAGGTGTACCCATATAAGCTCCTTTCTCTTGTTAGGGATATTGTCAATGTCTCCAGCATGTCGAAGGTCCTACCTGCAGCAAATGCAAACCCTTGTATTGGAACCTGGCCAAAGAAAACCCTGAGGGATGTACAGGTATGGCATCATGGCAAATTTATTTGGCTTATGAAATGTGGTCATATTTATTCTCTGACACTGTCTGTGGTGCTCTTTGTGACTCTCACAACTCTTATTAGCAGTAAATTACCCATGATACCAGCAGTTACTTTCAGAAACCAGGCCATCATTTCATGGGTGTTTGCTGAGTATTGAACCAGGGTGTGCTCTGAAGTTCCAGTGACGGCCCTGTGTCAGATCTACTGGAGCCAGACAGGATTTTTACCTGTAACCCTGAAATCAGAATTTGGCTCATTGTTTTGAGAAAAATAAAAAGTGCTTTTTCACTTTATGTTATTTCCTAGCTTAGAGTGTAAAACCTTCTTGTGGCCTCAGGGTGTGACAGATCTGTTATGGATTTATATCTGTATAATAACCTATGATTGTCAATGTTTTCCAACAGGGAGTGAGTGTTTTTCAGGCAGATAATAATAATTAATGAAAATTTAAAAAGGCAAGGATAAAAAAATATATAAAGATTCTCTCCAACTGTTTCCTTTGGAACAGATTCCATCACAACAGCCACTTAGGATTACTAGCTTTAGAACTGATAATAGTGTCATTACATTTTTTACTTTAGATCTCTAAATACTAAACACCTCCTCAAATATTAAGTACTGCACTTTCCATGTAATTCTCTGCTTTCAGTCACAGAGTCAATACTGGGTTTGTCCAAACTTGTATCTTAGCATTGTTCCTCCCTGCACTATTTTCTCCATTTCTGTTTCATATTGAGAGTTGATTTGGTCCCAGAATAGCACTGCAGAATAGAAGGTGCCAGTCAGACTGGAATACATGGTTTTGTATCAATTGTCTGAATGTTCCAAGAAATAAAACATTTGTAAATTCAAACTCAATACTGTTTTTGTCAAATACAAGTTAAATCACTTTAAAACACACTAGTAAATCACATATACTTAGAAGTCTTCATTCTTTCTCCTTCTCTTTTTCTTCTCGCCTCATACCAGTGTCTTGTCTGCTGTTCTGAACTTTCCAGAATAAAATCCACCTTGTGGCACCTTGACTCAAAATTGCAGATTCAGGGTGGTGGGGTTTTTCCCTGTAAAGTATCATGAAAAGATGAAATGCAGATGTCTTTTTTTTTTCATCTGTGCAGCTTGTCAGTGTGATGTGAGTGGAACACTAAGTGGAGTTGCAGAATGTCAGCAGGTAAAGAGAAACTAAAATAAATATATTAATTAAATTGATTATTGTAAAGATAAATTATTTTAACAATTTCTGAGGTAGAAATCTTAACACTGTTTATTGCTTTTGAACATAAAATAGCTAGTTTTATACATCAAAAGATCAATTTTACACATCCTAGGGATGTATAAAGTTTTTAAAAAATTTTTTCTTCTTGAGTTTATGTATTTTCTAGTCTATTTCTGAAGATGATAAATGACAGAGATAATGTCCAAATAATGGTTTTTTATGTGTTTGGGGTTTTTTTCCTTTTGTTTTATGTTTGGTTGGTGTTTTGTTTTGTTTTGTTTTTTGAGATTAGAAATTTCTTCCTCTTTAGCATTAGAGAGAATTCAAAGCATTGAGAGATTAAAGTTCTGGAAAGGTACTGAAACATTTTTGATGGAATTTATTTTCTTCACAGGAAAATGGGCATTGCTACTGCAAATCTAATGTTTGTGGAGATTCCTGTGATGTTTGTGAAGCTGGTTATTATGCTCTTGAAAAAAAGAATTATTTTGGCTGCCAAGGTACAAAAAAGGACATCTCTAGTGGAACATTTGCACTAAGCACAGAAGTCTTTAGAATTCCCTAGGCGGTACTTTTAGAATGGGGATGTTTGAATTACTCAAGTGCACAGCATTTTGCACTGGTGCTGGTGCTGTAACCTTGCTTGTGACTCCTCTTTTGCCTTTCAGCAGGAGAAGGAACAAGGCAGATGTTACTGCTGTGCTTCCCAGTCATTTTGTGCATGTATGAGAAAACAGGGTCCTTTTAGACTATGGCATAATTCTTGTTTAGGAGCACTCAGCCTTTCAATCCAGCTTGAAATTTTTAGCCTTGTCATACTTGTTACTTAGTACAGCATATATTATACCTCATTACTAGAGGTGTCCTTTAGTTTGTGCCTGAAGTCCTGTCTCCTGTAGAAAGTCATTCACTATTGTTGTCCAGTGTCAATTGCAAATATGTATATTATATGAATACAGAAACTGCAATTTTGTCAGGTTAAATATTGGGGTACCTGACTTTGAAAAATTAACATCTTGCAATTTTTGTGAGTTAGGTTTTAGATTTGGTTTTCAGTGGAGTTTTTTAACATATTCCTTGTTTGTGACATTGCTGCAGAGATGCTGACTTGCTAGGAAAACATTTGAAAAGCAGTACTGCAAAACTGCAGCCTTGCATTTAGCAATGTGGCAGGTTGTATTATTTGAGGTTTTTTTAAAAAAGGGACTTTTGTCACATTCTAAGGAGAAATTTAAAAGGAAACAGGCACAAACACTGGAAGCTCAAAATAATTTCAGCTTATGCACATGTATGAAGTTGTGTTTGAAAGAGTTTAAAGGGCTCTGGGGAGTCATTAATGGTGTTTAATCAGGTGAAGCTGTTGTGTGTTTGCTGATAACTCCCATTCCTCTTTTTCTGACTGGCTTCTCTTGGCATGCCAGGCTGCCGCTGCGATGTTGGAGGATCCCTGAGCCCAGTCTGCTCCCAGCCCTGGGGCAGCTGCCGGTGCAGGGCGCACGTCGTGGGCATCACCTGTCGGGAGTGAGTCCAGCTGGGCTGCTGGCACAGCTTCAGCACAGTGCCTTGTTGTACTTTCGTGTGACGTTCTGGGTTTGTTGATGATTAACTTGGTAAATCGCACTGGTTATTGATATTAATTTTCCTGGGAAGTTTCCTTAAATAACCAGTTCCAGTTTTGCAATAATACTGCATATGTATCTATGTATCTATCAAGAGTTGTATAGGAAAAGGTAAGAGGAAAGCTGTAAAAGCTTCTGGAAAGAAAATTCACATTGCATCCCTCTTACCAGCTGTCTTGAATCTATGAGCTGCTATCAGAATTCCTAAGCCATCAGCAGATCACCTCCCTTCCAGTGTTTTTTGCCCTTAAATGTAGATAATAAATGACTGGTAATTCTTTACTGATTTGTTGCGGGTTTTTTCCTTCTTGAAAGGCCTGAAAAAAACTATTTTTTTCCTGATCTGCACCACATGAAGTTTGAGATTGAAGATGGTACTACTGTCCAAGGAGGGAAAATTCGGTTTGGCTACGATCCTCAGGAATTTCCTAGCTTCAGTTGGAGAGGATATGTGCGGATGTCCTCTATACAGGTAAGCTGGTATTTCACTCAAGACTTCGGGGTGAAAATGAAAACAAAAGTACGTGGCACAATGTCTTTATACTTTATATGTGTGTGGAAGGTCATGGAAAAAAGACAAAAAAAAGGACAGGATCTGACTAATCCAAACTCTTTGGCACTGTGTTGCTGTTTGAATTAATGACTGCTGGTATTTTTGTCAGGTCATTTGCATGTTGCTTGTGCAAATATACTTTCTTCAGAAATGTTCTTTGAGGTTGGTTTTTTTGTGAGACAGTTGTAAAGAGGGAACTTACAGCTTTAAACTCTATAATAATAAGTGCAGAAATTATTGTCATGCCAAGAACAGTGAAAACAGCAGAAGATTAATGCTTGGCCAAGTAATTTGAATTGCACAGGTCTCTAAACATAAGATTTTCAGGTAAATCCATGTTCTGTCTCTGAAGTCATCTTGCACTTGAATTTACATTGGGTAGAGAAGAGAGAGGTGCCAACTTTTATTATTATTCACATTACAGCAAACAGGAAAATGTGTGGTTCAGTAAAAGAAGCTGTGAACAGGAGCATATTGGCAACACTTATTTAGTTTCATGACAGACTATGAATAAAATAAACAACAGCTGAGGGAATAAGTAAATCACAGGTAGAAAGTCACAATAATTTCTCTGAGAAGGGCCCTTCTGACTTTGGATTGAGCTGCTGATCAAATGAAGCAGAATTTTAAAACAGTAGCTTTGAGTAATAAATGGGATTTGTTCACTCACCTTGAAAGCAGGGCTTTGGTATAGTCATGTCCAGCCTCCATTTGTCCAGGGACTAATGAATCACTATAGCATGGGACAAAAGCACATAACCATTGCACAATGATATACTTTATGTTCTTCATTTTTCAGTCTTTCTTCTTTTGTTGTTTCAGTCTTGGCTTTTTTTATCCCAGATAATTTTTGAATTTTTAGTATTATTCCACATTGGTAAATGAAGGCAACTCTTTGGTATCTGTGATTTCATAATGCCTGCTTTCTAATTCAGCTGCTTTTTGCATTTCTTTTCTGGGGGTATTTTGTACAGGCTTTTTGTTCTCTTCTCAGCTGTGGGAAACAGAGAAAATGTTTGCATTTGGGGAAGCAGAGTGGACCACAGTGGTGGGGAGTTCACTGTGCCACAAGTAGCTTGGAAAGGGACAGCAGGTGCATTGTGATGGGTGAACTGGTGGGAACTGGATAGTGAGGGGAGCTTTAGGATTTAGGATGGAAAGAAAGGTACCAAACCCATGAGATTGCACCAATCCTGTTTTTTTCCTAATCCACCACTGATGCTTAACATGTCTCTTAGTTTTTCTGAAAACTAAATAATGGCGCTCTGTGAATGCAGAGAATTTTGTGGGTCGGGAGGTGTCAGTTTGGCCCCAGGACAAGGATAGCATTTCTGCTATTACAGCCCTACGCAACTGTAGGATCTGGTAGAGGATCAGCAGATCCTCTCAGTTTCAGTGACAGTCTGAGGTGTCTGTATGCTGTGGGATCTCAGACTAGGATTAATGATTGTGGCCTGTTCCTTGGAAAGGCAGGAATGGAAACAGCCCTTGATAGCATATACCTCCTTTATGGCACAAGTGGGGAGAATAACAGTAAAATACTGTTGCTATGTCACACTAACACACATTAGTTGAGCCATTCTGTGTCCTTCTAGATCAGCTGGTATTCAACAAGTGTTTTATTTCACAGGGGATTTTATTCTATGCTCTTTTGTAAGCTGCCTGTGCCTTTTTGTCTTTGCCAAGTGGTTTTTCTTTCTCTGGGTGATAGTAACAAGTAATATACTTTCCATTCCTCCTTTTTCCCTTTCTTTTTATTTTTCCCAGCCAGAGGTGGTTATGCCTATCACTGTGGCTTCCCCTAAGCTCTTCCACCTAGTCCTCCACTATGTCAGTCTGGGCTCAAAAAGCTCTAAAGGGAAGATCTCTGTTGCTGAGGGAAAACATATTGGCACTAATTATACTTGTAAGTGAATTAATTTTCTCACTAGGCTTCCCTGTCTTCCTCTATCATACATCAGCATTGCCATTCCAGTATATACTCTTTTGCATGTGCCTCTTTCTTGTAGGACCTTAGTCTGGTGCTTGCATGGCTTCTGACTGTTCCTCAATTCAGCACTTTATGGCTGTTTTTGTTTATTAACTTCCATTTTTCAGAATGAAGTCAGGATAACTTTGAATGTGGAAAAATCAAACCTCTACTTATTTCGCATTATCCTGAGGTATATTAACCCTGGAGGGGAAATATTGTCTGCTCGCATATCTGCTTGTCATTCTCAGCCTGGAGCAGGTAGGTGTAACTCAGCACTGCAACAGCTCAGGTGAATGTTGGATCAGAGAAGACATTCCAAGGTGCACCTAAATCAAGTCTTTAATGTTGCTTAAAAGGCATCACTTTTAACAGTGTCAGTGCTTTTGGGCTTCTCCTCGTACATTTTTGCTGTGTAATTGATGTGGCTGTGTTTGCATGAAACTCCTGCTTGCAGTAGTAATCGGCATTTTTTTCTTCAAATGTTTGCCACACTTAGCACTTTCAGTCCTGTTCTTGGAAGCTCTCAACTATTTTATGAAGGGGTTTTTAAGAAGGGGTTTTAGAGAAGGGGTAACAACACTTTGTTTGGTTTACATGCCTTTAATATTCAAGTTTTAAATGTGGCCTTTGCCTTCATTCAGTGAGTAGGATTTGTTTAAAATTATGAACCCAGTCTACCAAGTTAGTTCTGATTACAGAACTCAAAACATGTGATGCCTTTCAGGCCCTAATAAAAGGTAATTACTCCATATCCTTTGAATGGTAGAGGCATACCTATAGATCCTTTTAGAAATTCAAGACAAAACTGAAGACTTCACAGACACCATTCAGCAGAGTGGCAGAAATTTGTGGTCATCACTGGCTTCTAATGGCTGGGAGACAGGGAACCAGATTTTGTCTGTATCCAGGATCTTCAAAGAAGAAACCTTTAATATTCATAACAGTTGATCCTAATGACTTCTATTTGACAAAGCATACCACAGCTTTAGAGCATAGAGTCACAGAATTATCTGGGTAGAAGGGGGCTTAAAGATCATCCAGTTCCAGCCCCCTACCATGGGCAGGGACACCTTCCACTAGACTAGGTTCCTCAGATCCCCATCCAACTTAGCCTTGAACACTGCCATGGATGGGGCATCCACAACTGGCCCATCATCTCTGCCTAGAAGTTATCTGTCTGTAAGTAAACATTTTAGATACTACTGAGAACCTCCAACACCTGAAGCATTTGACTTAAAGTCACATTAGAATATGGAATGTGTCAGTTGAACATATTGAGAGTCAGTGCAGAGAGAAGTTGAATGGAAAATTATGGAAGGGGAAACTGAAAAAGTGACCATTTCAGGTATTGCAAAATTGGCTATTGCATGGGGCAGAACTCTGCTTTTCTGTACCAATTTGCTCAAGAGCAATAAGAATGAAAACAACAACCACTGCATAGTCTGTGTCTGGTCAGGTGCATTGCTACTGCATATTGACTGAAAATCATTTATCAACTCCTGTCAAGCAAAGTTTAGTGGACCAAATTATTAATCCAGCCCACTAGCAAGTAGAGATATTTTACACAGTCACTTATGCTTTATACTTGATTTTTTTTTTTTTTTTTGGCAGGGGCTGCTCAGAGCAAAGAATTTGTCTTCCCACCCAGCAAGGAGCCAGCTTTTATCACAATCCCAGGAAAAAGCTCCACAGAGCCTTTTTCACTGGCTCCAGGCATGTGGACTGTCAGTATAATGGCAGAGGAAGTCCTCTTGGTAAGAAAACAATTGAAGAAAACAACTGCTTGAATGTTGTCATGAAGTTACCGCTTAGGAGTTGTTTGCAGGGAAGAACCCTGCAAGCAAGAGAAATTCAGCACTAGTGAAAGAAACAGAATACAATTGTGAAAATTTACACTTCTGCCTCCTATTTATTTTCTGATTTTGTCCTGCTCTAATTTTTCTTCTCCTTACAGTCTATCTGGAATATGTACCTTCAAATGATAAGGTATTATTAGCATACAGCCTAAAGCATAAATGCTCACAAAAATTAGTAATTTTTGCATATCAGATCTTGTGTCTAGAGTTTAACTCAGCCAAGGACTTAGTTTCTTGACAAAAAGTCTTCATAAGAGTATTGTAAAATGGACTGCTGCATTATGAGCAGGTCAATGTCTGACTGCTTTTATCCTCCTATCTTTTCTCTCCTTTCTTTCACTGAAAAATTGAAAAAAATTTCTAGCAGCAGCTCTAAGAAATTGCTGGAGAATGAGAAATTGTTTGGGATGATAATTTATGAAAAAGCTTAAATATATATGATCACAAAGACAGCATACTGAAATTCTTACGTATTTTGTACAGGGATAAAAAGCAGTGTCTCCAGTCATTAAGCCTGAGGCTGTATTAAATTTGTGAAATGCCACATAAAGTGTTAGTAAAGAGCTTGAAAACATATTTCTTGCTGAAAGTGACAGTATTATTGTGCTGGGTTTTTTCACTAATACCTTTGAAAAGGTATATATTAATAATCTTTGCCCATGATATTCTCACATTAACAGTTATACTTAAGCTCTAATATATTAATTTAAGTAAGCAAGGCAGAACAAAAATATACCAGCTTTTGAAGGACATCTTAATAGATTACATGGAGTATTTTCATCAAGTCATCTGGGATATATGAATCTCCTGTGTGGAGTCGCCCAGAGCTGAGTTGTGTGCTCGTGGATTGCACTCATGGATGAAAACTGCAGGCATCTGGCTGTGTGTTACTGAACTGCAGGGAAGCTCCCTTCAGTGCACTGTCTTGTACATGATGGGAGACTGGCTTCAGAGTTTCCCTGATCCCAGGGCAGCTGCCTTCATGCCATCTTTCTGAAATTACAGACTTAGGGAAACACATTCTGATGTTATTGGCCCAAGCAGGAACAGAAAAAGCCCCACTCACATCTTGCAGATAACCTGTGTACAAATTGTTTATGTGATTGGTTTCATTCTTTGTTACATTGTGAAAGCCTGGAGATGTTCTTTTTATCAGTGTTTGAATGCTTTAGTATTTGTTGTATTCTTTGTTCTTAGGATTATCTGGTGCTGTTACCGAGTGATTACTACGAGGCATCCCTGTTGCAGATGCGCGTTACAGAGCCTTGCACGCGTCCCAGGCCTGCTTCAGCAGAACAGTCAGTAGATGTGTTACAGCCTAAACCAGTCCTTGAGTTTATTTTGTTATCATCCTGCTGCACATGAAAACTATAATAATTCTGTGTTTTGGTCTTTTGTTTTTGTGTTTTTTTGGTGTAAGCTGCTTGCTCTATCAGCATTTGCCCCTGGGCAGATTTTCCTGTGTCCTTGGTTCAGAGGCATTGCAGTTCAGACACGGGGGAGAATCCAGAATACCTCTGCGACAGCCAGCTCCCAGTCAGCCAGTGATGGCCCAGATCACTGGAAGAGAGGTCAGAATTCCTGTCTGCTAATTGCAGTCCCGTCTGTGCTGTTGACTATAAACCTACCAGACTAAAATAGTTGCAGATTTACAGCTCAGGATTTTCAGATCTTAACATATCCCTAAAACTGACTCTGCACCGACATCTGCATTTTACACAAAACTATATAAAAGTATCAGTGTAGGCAGATTTATAACTATGACTGGAGTGGACATTCCACTCTAGCAAAAGCATTTCATTAAATAAAAATTCTTCTCCTTTAGGCATACTGGCTTGTTCAGAAGAAATGACATAATGATTTGTCAGCAGAAATGGTGTACATACATCACTCTAAATTAATCCTTTTTCTTTCTTAAATAGCTACACTTAGGTAAAATGTTTGCTTTACTGAAAAACAAGCCAAAGCAATTATGCCACTGCTGTAGGTCCTTTGAAAGCAAAGCATGTTTTATGAAATGAGAAGATCTACTAGAGTGTGTTTGGCAAAAAACAAGGTATTTTTATCACGTATGTGATAGTGATGTGAAATGATTATAGCCTCTATTACTGTGCTCAGATATTTCTTTTAAAAATATCAAGTGCAGCAAGAATACCCATATGCCACAGGCTCTCGTGCTTCATCACTGATGCATGTGCAAAATTTACTGGTATGAATAATTGCAGTGAAGTCAAGAGGGATGTTGACAGACTTATTTACATGTTTAAGTGTTTGTAGCCTAAGGAAATACTGAGAAAAATTTGAAAATAATTATGTAGTCAACTGAAGCAAAACCTTTGTAACCACAGCACTTAACTACTTAGAAGTATTTTGCATCATATATTGTGTTAACCACTTTGTGCAAGTAGCCAAAAAGAAAACCTTGATGCTTCAAAGTGTTATTGTTTTCAGGAGAAGATACTTTCACTCTTCAGGGAGTAGGGAATCAAAATACAGCATTGCTATAGTAGGAATTTTGCGTTCCTGGAAAATTTACTGAGAAGTAAACTCAGTTTCTGTGTGTTGTTAAGGGTAGCTTAGAGATGATGGTGACAATTTTTTAGCATCATAACATTTCTTCCCTTTCTGCTGGGGAGAAGATAAATAATAATATAGCAATTTCCCAGGGTTATTTTACAGCTTTCCTAGAACTGTTATAGTGACAGCTGTTTTTTGAAGTTGTTTGACTCTTGCTAGAGGACAAAGTGATATTTATAAGCATTGCTTGCATTCTGCTGGATGTCTTCTGTTGAGACACTGCAGGACTGGCTCTGGGCTAATGCTGAGCAGTCAAAAGAGCAGGAAATGGGAGCCTCCTGCAAGGAAAGGGAGTGAAAGATTTAACTCCTTTTTTTGTTTTTCAATTGTTTTGACCCAGGTCAATTTAGAGATGACCATAAATGTTCCTCAAGTGGGTCGCTATGTTCTGGTTTTTGAATATGCCAATGAAGAGGATCAGATAAACACTGCAGAGGTAACAGTACATAGCCCTGGACCTGTCACTGAAGGCAGAGTGAGAATATACATTTGTAAATACAGGTAAGAGTTTCTGAAGTAATCACTAAATGATTAAATAAGCATTTGGAATGTAATTATATTTTTTATATATTTGAATCCATTTTACCATGTAGATTGTTCAAATTCAGGGTGATTTAAAAGCAAGTGCAAGATTCAGTGGATTTTGTAGAGGTTTTTAATTCTCTTTGTGCAGTCAGCTCATTAAATATTGCTACTGCTACAATGGATTGTTTTTCTATTCAAAGGGTTACTTTTTTATATACATTTTTTAATCCTTATAAACTACTAATCTCCAAGTCCAGTGGAAGAACATCGCTGTTGGCTACAGATGCCTGCACTGATTTTCTTCAGTTAAAATTGTCTCCAAGGACTTTGGCTATAAAAAAATTTAGCAGCCAGATTTACAAGAGTATTCCCACCGTTTCTAACAGGATTTGCTGAAGCAGAAGTATAAAGGTCTCTGAAATTTTGCCTGTAATCATGCTCTGGCTGATAGGCTGTAGGCAAGGTCTTCAGCCAAATGCTTCTTTACCCTTGTTGACTGAAGAGGTTACTGCAGATGTTCCTGCACAAGAGATTTTCCCTGTCCTGAGTGAGATTGTCGTTAACACTTGAGCACCTCAGCTTATTTTGAGCCCTTGGGAGAGCCTACCCAGTGCCAGGGGACTGCTAGATATGCAGCCTTTCTTCCCATGAGCCAACTGCTTGGCAGAATGGAGGCTTAGGGGTATTCAGGATGAAATTGCTCAGTAAGAAAAAACCTTTTCATCAGCATGTTTGTGGTACAAAGCACAGCCATGTGGAGCAGTGACCTTGTCAGGTTCTTGCTGGGGAAAGCTCTTATTTTAGCCTGTTACATAACACTATGAGCCCAAACTTCTTGCTATAAATCTTCCATTTTACTGGGGTTTTGGTGGGTTTTTTTCCCCAAAACACCCTCATTTTTTCCCACATTTTATGGGCTGATTTTAGACATACTTGTTTGTTTATATGATACATTAGAAACATGTTAATGGAAGTACAAAGAAAGCCCTTGCTGCTTTAATGTAGCAATGCAGCAAATCCCTTCTGCAGACATTCTGCCTGAACTGAGTGGTCACATTGTGAATGAGGTGCTGTGTCATCTTTCCCAAACAGGAAGGTGCAAATCTCTTCTGATAAAAAAATAAATCAAGCAATGACATAGTGAGGTACATGTAGATAACAGTAACTTGCAGAATTTGTATTATATTGTGCCAAACTTTCTTATGTCTCAGTGAGCTTGAATATTCCAAATAAAACATAGTAAGAGAATAAAACATCACAGGCTTTGAGTAAATCATGAGTAAGGGACTTATATTTCTCTAGTTTTACATGTCCCTAGCCCTGAGCTGACCTTTTCTCTGATTTTTGCTTTAAACAAGAGCAAAACTTACATGTTCTCTGGTTTGTAGAGGAAGCAATTCACATCTTCAGAGGCACATGGCAGTAGTGGAAAGGTGCAAATGCTGTGTGCGGCACCTGAAGGAGCACGGCCCAGGCAGGAGAATATTAGTTACATACCACAGTGTGTAACACCACGTTACTCAGTGTGAAAATGTCTGCAGGTAGCATCAATGAGTGGTTTTCTGTCCACATCCTACTAAGCCAGTAGCTCAAACGGGTGTCTGAGCTGAGATCTGGAGGCTTCAGCTCTAGCCCACCCAGGATAAGCAGTGTTTTGTGCGTGGTAGATCCTGTGTCTCACTGGTGAGGACAGTGCATGTTCCACAGTGGCCACAGACAGGTTAGTTATGGTCCAGCAGGAGGGACAGGTGCTGTGGCTAGCTGGGCAGTGAAGCTAGGTGACAGCCTGAGCAACGTGGCAATGCCAGCAGGCTCATCCTTAATCCTGCTTTCCGCCTCAGTTTCCTTTGTCGCAGCGTTGTAGTTGATGACAGGAATCGCGTTGCAGCCTATGACCTTCTGGCAGACACAAAGATACGTCTGAAGGCCTCATCAAGTAATTTTCTTCTGGTAAGTTGACATTTCCTTTTCCCTTTGGTAATACTTGTTCCTTGATGGGGTAAACAAAGATACTTGTCTCCCTACGTTCACATTCTGTAAGGTAAGATGTGAAATTATGTATATTAGATGCTTGTCTAGACATGTTTTATATACACCCCAGAATGCTGAGGCAAACTTGTCAAAGACAAACAGAACTTTGCCTTTATTGGTAAGGTTTTTTCCAGCTTTCTTGTGCTTTATTTCAGTTCCCCTTTCTCTTCTACAAGTAAACATATTCTGGTAGCTTTTATACATAATTTTTTATTGTCTTTTTTTATCTTTCATTTTTTCTAAATCCTCAAAATCCATGTCTCTTACAAAATTCAGGTAATAAATACATTTATTTAAGGTAATAAATACATTTATTTCAGGTAATAAATGCATTCATTAATCATATAGCTTTTAGATATTTTAAATAAAAATCTGCACTGACCTCTCTTGGCCGCACCAGGAATATACTTTTCTAGAGATTGAATTTTCTTACATGTTGCTTCTGCTTTCTATTTTAAAAACACGAGGTTTGTTAAAATCTTGAGCTGTAATCCACCTAGTAACAACTAGTAGAACTAACAGCTTATGCATGCTTTCTTCACTTCATGAGTCAGTATAAACTGATACCTTTTACATTTGCTGTTAGCTTCCTGCAGCAACTGCTGTGCTAACAAGATCCAACCTTCACAATCTTTAATTGTAAAGGCTGTCCTTAGCAAAAGATGGGAAAGGGGAAAAGAAATGCTTCTGATATGTAGGCACTGATCATGAAGTCAATGGCAGCAGTTTTGGGGTTAAAGGCATTCATGTGTTCCCTTCATGCAGAGCAGAGAGGCAAATGGGAGCCACCTCCAGTGCTTTCCCTTATGTCCTTACCACCATGGGTACAGCAGGACTACCAGATCCATTTGTGCATGCCTACTTTTAGTTAAAATAAAAAAATCACATATGAAGTCTTGTTTCTTTTGAAACAAGCTCTGAATCCTGGGAGAGAAATCCTGGTGCCACTGAAAGTCAGTCCCATGGGCTTCGCACGAGCGAGTGTTTGTGCCTTTATTTGAGAAAGTCTGGGAGTTCCCCCAGGGTCCCAAAGTCTCTAAGGGCTTTTCCCTCCTACCTCTCTACATTCCTTGCCTTGCTTCTCAGGCTTTGAGCTAGTCTTCTGTCTTTCCCTTTACCACACATATATACTTTCCTTTTATTTATTTCACTCCTGAACATCCAATATTCCCTTGACAAGGACAGGAAAAATACTATTTAACCCCGAGGCATTGAGGTGCAGGGAGGTAAAGGGATCCGAAATCTTGCGGGAGGTCCACAACAGAACATGGCTTTGGGCTCATATCTCCCTTTGCTAAAATTAGGCTTTATCCTTCCTGTTCATGCCTGGCCCTGTTATTTATTATATTAATTGTGCCTTGTGCTTGTTTTTCAGCACAAGGTTTGCATTATATCAGCTGAAGAATTTTCTCCAGAATATGTGGATCCTAAAGTACAGTGCATAGCTGCTTACAGGAGTAACAGTGATGGAAGGTAACTTGCTTGATTTTATCCTTCCTATTATCTGAGGACAACCTTGAAAGGTAGAATAAATTGTGTTTTGATTCTTCTGAGTGAAGCTTTTCTCAGTGACTCACAGGTGATTTGTAGGCCACTTCTGTAAAGTAGTCTTTGTAAAGAAGCTGAAATCTTAGTGTTAATTTAGACAGTCTTTGCACAGAATTTTGTTGATAACAGCCTTTTCCTGGCCCATCTGAGCTACCCAGTGCTGATGTGTAAGAAAATATGCATCTTTCACATGCCATCCAGTACAACAGGTGTCCAAGCTGGAAAAGCACTCCTACTTTAGTGGCCTGAAATGCTTACTGTTCCATCTAGAGTTTTAGCATGTAACTGCTTCATCTGTACCAAAATGGCTTTAATTTGTCACTAGGTGTGGGATGTGACTGCCCTTCCAGACACAATTTGGCAGCATCAAATTACTCAGCATGTAAACCCCTGCTTCCCAAACAAGCCATTCCCTTTTCCCTGTCATTATGGGACCCTTAGGGTATGTGTGCCCTTATCATTCACCTCACACAGTAATGCCAGCCGATCCCTCTTCTCCATTGTACTTTATAGGACCAGTAATTAGGGGACTTATGCACTGCTTGGTTGATCCAGGCTGACAGCTCTTCTCTTGCTGTGAAGATCTGAACCTGAACCTTGCCTTCCCAGTGGTCAGGTTTGGGTTCCACAGAGCATCTCCTCTGTCCTGTTGAAGCTCTTCCCCTCCCCATCTTTTGTTCTTTGGAACAGAGAGGAACAGTCACTGCAGCTTCCAAATTAGGGACCTCTACATTTCAGTGCCTGTTGCAGTCCCCATGATGTGCCTCGTGATGCCTACTCCTTTCTTCCTACTGATCTAACAGTGGGAAGGGTCTCAAAAGTAAATGTCATTTGCAGGACTTTAAAGGCAAAAAAGAATTAGTGAATTGGTCTAACAGTTTTCCAAATGGTAGCTTGTATTGTAATGGTTGAATTGAAACAGAAAGCAGAAAAATCTGTATAGTAAATTGGATAAAACATGTGACTGTGCTTGGTTTCCAAGTATGCATAGCATTGAATCACAGCTTTAATTCTTCTGCTCAGTGTTACCACTGAGAACAGCATTCTAAGACTGAAAATACTTCTCCTTCCACCAAAATTATTTTGCAAATGCAGGCATTTATATTTTGAGTAAAACAGGGAAAGAGGATGGGTGAAAAACATGATTCAAAATAAAACTAATGTAGAAACTTACACATTTGACTTTGGTTTTGTGTTGGGTATTTTTTAAAACTCTTGTTAAATTTCCATTGTTTACTGTAGGTTTTTGTTTTGTTTTTATTGTAATCTGCCAGCATTTTTGCTTTCCTGAAAGTGTTTAAGTTCATCAAGTTGAAAGATGCAGAGGCTTGGCTCAGTTAAACAGTATTGTAAGTGGATGCTGCACATGATTTCCTACACGGGCCTGGCAAATGCATCTCAGTTCTGGCCTGAAACATACTTGCCATTCCAGTTCTGGGCCTATCTTGATCAAAGATTAATCATTGTCTGTTGAGTACTTACTAGAAGTGAACAAATACAGCCAGGAAATCCCCAAAAATATTTTATCCTGCAGTCTTTGAGAATTCTTCTCTCAATTCCAGAATTAAATATGCCAAGGAAGAAATAGTTAAACACAGCAGTGAATGAATGAGGATGCTTTCAAGGAGCACTGTTATTTATTTTGGCTCCAGTTCTACAAATATTTGAGCATATACTTAACTTCTAAATACTTAAGTAGTCCCATTGACTTCAGTGGGAAAACTTGCATGTTTAAAGGATACACCTATGTAAATATTTGTACAACTGAGAATTCAATATTAGTACAGGTTCTGGTGAAAGTAACTAACTGGATTAACTAAAATGTATTTAATTTTTAGTTATCCTGATTCCCTTAAGTTTCCTTCTCTTCAGCAAATTCTTTCCACTGAAACTTAAAGTTATGGAAATTTTGTGTGAATAAAATCAGTTAATACATTAAAAGTGTACACACTTCCCCATCTTATGGAAGTTAAATCCATACATCTTGTTTTCCTTTACTTTCTGATCATTCACAAAGACTCCCTGTAGGTACAGGAGTTATTATTGCATTATCAATTACAATACAGTCTAATACACTGACTTTTGTAAGTCAGCAGCTTTTCCTGTTGTGATTAAAACTTTCTCCTGGTCCCAAGGATGATTACTGTGGTTCTGTGTTTAGTGCAGCATGCATTCCCTCAGTTTTTGAAACTCCACCAGGAGCTTTGGTTTTGGATGCATTCAAAGATGGGAAGATTTCTGAAGTAGAGGAGAATATAATCCATGATTCATTGAGTGCCACTTTACCTGCTGGTTCAGTTCGTGGAGTCACCTTGACACCATTACAGGTACCTCATCTTTTGAAAATTTTGTTTTGCAAGTCACAAGGTATGTTCTTAATAAAATTAAATAGATGAAATGCTGTAAGAGAATCAAAACTGGATGACGCTATATGATGAAAATGTTGCAAACTGAGTAAGCCACAGAGACAATATAAAGAATGGAGGGGAAAAAAGCCCCAGACACCAGTTTCTTTCTGAACTACACAACAGTCTCATAGACTGCAGAAGAGTGTTAAATGTGCTTGGCAGGCAAACAGAGCATGCAGTTGTAATGCCATTTTCCTTGAAGAAATGGAACTTGCTGAGAGATGCTAAGCCCCCTCTCCTTCACTGCAGGTAGGGGGCACTGAGCACAGCTGATAAGCCCAAGAATGTTTCACAAAACAAATCTATTCTGTGATTCTGTGATTTAATACAAGAGCTGTTCTTGTTTCTCCAGAACCAGATCACCTTGAGCGGCAGAGTGCCTCACATGGGCAGATACGTATTTGTGGTACATTTTTATCAGCCAGCACACCCAGCATTCTCTGTGCAAGTCCATGTGAATGCCAGACATATGTGGTCAGGTAGGCATGTGAATTTGACCTAACCCCTTTCCTTTCTTAGCATTTTGGGATATTAGAGCTATGTTGGGTTGACCCTGGATGGACACCAGGTGCCCAAATCTTCGAACAACTTCCTTCCACCTTTCCCTTTTTCCTGGGCTCGGCTTCACTCACAGATTTCTCCAACTCCTCCCACTAGTACAGAGAATGTGAGCTGTACTCCGTTCATCACAGATTGCCTCTGATCCTTCCTCCTCAGCGAGGGACTGCTCACACTCTTCCCATACTTTAGTGTTGGGTCCCTCACATGGGAGACAGTCCTCTACCAACTTCTCCAACATGAGTCATTCTCCTGGGCTGCACTTCTTCACTAACTGCTCCAGTGTGAGTGCCTTCCATGGGGTCACAAGGCCTGCTAGGAGCCTGCTCCAGGTGTGGAATTCCTAGAGGTTCACAGAACCCATTTGGGCATCCACCTGTTCTTGAATAAATCTCCTGGGGCTGCAGGTGGATCTCTGCTCCAGCACGTGGAGCTTTCCTTCTTCACTGGCTTTGGTGACTGCAGAGTTGTTTCTCTTGCATGTTCACACTCCTCTCTCTGGCTGTACCTGCTGTTGAGTTGGATTTTTTTCCTCTTTCTCAAATATAGTATTCCAGAGGCGATACCATGGTCAGACACAGCCTTGGCCAGTTTTGGGTCTCTCTTGGAGCCGACTGGGATTGGCTCTGTGGGACATGGAAGAAATTTCTTACAGATTTTCATAGAACCCACTCCAGTAGCCCTCTGCAACCAAAAACCGTCTCACATAAACCCAATATATTTTTTCTTCTAGGTACTTTCAATGCTTCATTCTGCCCTCATACTTCTGGCTGTCGGGTTCAGGTGGTTGCAGCAAGCCAAATTGAGCTCGACATTTCTGAACCCATGGTCTCTGTTACAGTGATGATACCAGATGGAAGAATGCTGGTTCTGGTATGTATGTTACATAAATGTTCTTGAAAATGTTGGTCTCAGTTTCACCATTCATTTAGAGGTAGATGCAAAGATAAAAGCCAAAAAAATTAATATTGTGTTTCAGATTTTTAGGGTATTTCACACTGCTTTTGGTTTTATTTAAATTTTTAAGATACTCTGCACAGTTTTTGTTGTACACTGCTTGTAGCATCACAACTTTGATGGCAGTTATTTTCTTATTTTTGGTTTAAATCTTAAAGGTTTTGAAAAAATCCAGACTGTATAATGAAGCAACATTTAAATATGTAAATTCCTTAGCTTATATCTTTTTGTTTTTCTCTGAAATGTACAATTTAGCTTTCTTATTGTTTTAAGGAAAATATCTTAGTTGTTCCAGCAGACACCTACAGTCACAAAATTCTTGACAAAAAGACAGTGGACAAGTCATTTGATTTTATCAGCCAATGTGGAGGAAACAGTTTTTATATTGAGTAAGCATCACTTTCTAAAAAACTGAACATTGACAACAAACTGGGAATAATATTACTTTTACTCTACATTAAAGAGCTGTCTTAAATCCCTATAATTGTGCTACATTAAAATGCTTTTCATGGCTTATGCTAGCCCATTGAATTTCCATGAGTCATTTTTCCATTACTTTCTATTGCAAATGCAATCTAAAGGTAGAGCTTTATTGCTCACAGTACAATAGAGGAAAATCCACGTCATCTTCCTGTCTTTGGTATTTCCATCTTTGGTATTTGGTATTTTGCTTGGCATGTCTGAACTGACACAACTAATACACACTTGCTATGAAAAAAACCTCTTACCTGCATGTTCAAAGCTATTCCCCCAATTTAATTAAAGTGTATCCTTGCATGTGTGCTGATGCCATCATTATGTCAGACTGTTTGAAAGACAGAACCCTAATTTACTGAACCACTGCAAAGCGCTGTCATAACAACCCTGAGTGCCAGCACTTACATGATTTATATTTTAATTTAAATAGCCCAGAACGATCATCAGCCTTCTGTAAGGACTCTGTAAGGTCACTGGTGGCTTTCTACAACAACGGAGCCCTGCCGTGTGCTTGCCACAGCGCAGGTGCTGCTAGCCCTGCGTGCAGCCCCCTGGGAGGGCAGTGTGTCTGCAGACCCAACGTCATCGGTCGCCAGTGCAGCCGATGCCAAACCGGCTACTACGGATTCCCATTTTGCAAGCGTGAGTATGTGCTTGCAGTCCTTCAGATCCTGACCTGGCTGCCTGCTTACCCCTCTGAATTTGCTGCAGCTGTACTGCAGCCTGACTTTTCTTTGTAGAGCCTGATCCTGTGAGGGGCTAGTCAGGCTGTTGTAGCTTCACCATAGTGTAGTTTCCAGTTTAAGGCAGAGAAAATCCCATTCCCCTAAAGCACACCTAGCTTGTGGTGAAGCGAGCCTTTGCACGTCTGATCAGGTATAGTAGGCTTACAGCTGAACTGGTTAAAATCCATATTGCCACTATTGCAGTGAAATGGATTTTTTTCTGTGCTGACTGCTGAATCATTTCCAAGTTGTTAATGTTTCATCCCATTTTGCACCTTCAAGCTGTTCCATAGATAAGCAAAGACACAGCATTCCTAATTCCTCATATTCTGATGTTAATAATAACAACAGATACAGATTACACCAACAGTCCTCAGCTGCTTTCATAGATACTATACTTAATGTTTATAAATATTGCTTTATAAAAGTGGTGCCCTTGACACAAAAATGAATCCTTGGCAGTTTTGGCAAGTGATAAACAATGTCTGCGGTGAAGTTAAGTAACCAATCCATGGAAAAGAGCCAAGCACTAAACCTGCTCTTTGAAACTCTTTTTACAGTCACATAGTTGGTTTCTATGACCCTGAACTTTAAACTAGTGAGAGAAGAGTCATGTTTTCTATACATAAAGGTTGTGTGTATTTGTTGCATATTCAACAGGAGTTGATTGCTGTAATATGAGATGTGATTGACTTGTAGAATAATTTCTTTGATCTAGTATGCAACTGTGGGCAGCGTCTTTGTGATGACATGACTGGTAAATGCATTTGCCCTCCGCGAACTGTGAAGCCAAAATGTGAAGTGTGTGAGAAATACTACTTCAGCTATCATCCCCTTGCTGGCTGCAAGAGCTGCAACTGCTCAGAAAAAGGAATTGTTGATGTGGCAAGCCCAGAATGTGATAAAACCAGTGGGCAATGCAAGTAAGTTTGGGTTATGTGTGTTATAAACAATGCATGAATGTTTTGCTCTGATACCATTTTCAGGTGTTTGGAGAGGGTATGGGAAATTTAAGTTATTCACTCTTCAGTGTGAGCAAAATGGATTTTATCCACTGAGAACAGTTGTAAACTAACCCAATCTTTGTGGGTGATTGAGTTCCCTGTAATTACCTATATGCTCGCAATTCCCTATTTTTCTGTTACCAGGTGAATGCCTTAAGTGATGCCCAAGCACATTTTCCAGCTATAATTCTTCCTCCAGCTCTGCTTACCTATATTCAACATCCATGTTTTACGCCTTGGTGTACAGAGAGAGTAGTTCTGCACTGCAAGCACTGAATAGCAGCAGAAGTCTAATTCTATTGTGAGCATTTTTATGCTTCAGAGTCAAATCCATTCCTGCTCAGTTCTGTGGCCATTTAAAATGTCACACTATCCAAAATCTGAGAACAGTACTAACCTGCTGCTTTTTCTCTGTGGGAGTCATAAAGTTGTGTCATAGCTGTGCAATCCCTTTGAACATCTACCTGCCTGATGTTTTATTTTCCCTTCCCTGCTTCATTCCCACCTCCCTTATTGACCCTCTCCTCTCTGTTTGTTGAAAAAGATGCAAACCAGGAATAAAAGGACGTCAGTGTGATCAGTGTGCTCCTGGAACTTACGGTTTCCCTAACTGTGTGCCATGCAACTGTAACAGAGATGGAACAGAACCAGATGTTTGTGATCCCCAGACAGGAATTTGTCTTTGCAAGGTCAGATAAATCAAATTACTTCTGCATTCACAAGCATCATTTGCATGCCAGTGACTTTTTAATATATAATGGGGTGAATAAAGTGGATTTTTCATTAAATTCTCAGTAAAAATTAAACGCAGCTGTACAAAGCCATCACACTTTGCAGTATGTGCACAGATGATCATGATAATATTAAATATAATTTTTAATGGCTTCAATATCTGTCAGTTGTACACATGGTCTTAGTTTTTGCAAGATGTTAGAGAGCTGTAGAGTAGATGTCCACTGAATCACTGAAGCAGTCTGTACCCTGCACACATCCTCTTTATCCATCTGCATCTTGCCTTTTGGATTTTAACCAAGTCCCATGCTTTTTTTAGCCATATTATGTCAGTTGACATTTTACCACATCATTATAGCTAGGAAATTTTCTTTTGTTCTGATCTGCATAATTAAATGTGATAAATGTGAACTTTCACAAGTGACCTTTTATATTGTGGGTTTGTAAAAGCCAGCAGGAGGATTTTGGCAAGGAAGTTACCAGCTGTCTCTGACTAATATTTATTACTCAGTGGTTCACTGGAAAGAAAGCTTATAAGATAGCCTCCAAGACAGTTTTACTTGCATTTAGAATATAGTCTATCCAGACACCCACGTATTTTCTTTCATTCATCTGTTTTTATACATTTAAATATATATTCTTTCAGAAGTTTTTTTTCATGCGCAGGAAGTTTTGGGGACCTCAGCAAAGCAAAAAGAAAAGCACTGAAATTTCTTTGAACTATGCCTTAACAGGAGAATGTTGAAGGTGCAACATGTGACACTTGCAGACCAGGATCCTTTTATCTGAACCCTTCTAACCCCAGGGGATGCACACCTTGCTTTTGTTTTGGGGCAACCAGCAGCTGTCGCAGCACAGATCGTCGTAGAACCAAGGTGTACCAAAGATCTTTTTTTCTTTTCTGTAATGAACTTACACTTGTTCCATTAAGGAAATTCCAGATTTCTTTGAAAGTTAAAAATAAATTTTAGTAGTTTCTAAGGATGAGAAATATTGTCCAAGCAATTCTCCAAGTGAAGATTTAGTGCAGCCTTCTTAAGATTAGGAGTAGTCTGAAAGTGCTGTTCAGCAGAAATGGCCCTTCTTACCTGTTTGTTTACAAGTCAGTAGTTGGACTGAAGTTAAGCTGGCCTTGCTTGCTTTATCTTCAAACTCTATGTCATCATTAAAGTAAATGATCTCCTTCAAGATGCTTTGATAAGCACATATCATTTTACATGTCTATATTATAGATGCATTCTTAGGAACTGTGTGACAGATTCTACAGAGATTGTGAAAATTCTTTCTTCCCTCCCTGTAAAAGAAACATGACATCAAGTGTGAGAAACAGAGTTTTAGTAGTATAAATGAAGAATAAAATTGCTGAAGACTACAAAGAAAAAAGCAACAGCTGCTTGAAAAAAGGCAAGAGAAAGGAAAAGAGAGACAAACAAGAATGGTGGATGAAGAATTTAGTTAAGGTTTAGACATAGACTAGATGCAATCCAGATTGTGCCATTTACTGTTTGCAAGCAAAAGGTGAAAATGTAGCCTAAGAAATCAGTAGAAATTTTCTTCTAGTCATTACTTGTCCTCACCAAAAGCTGTTTATGAAAACATGTCTATTTTTTTTGGTATTTTGCCCTGGCCAGTCAAGGGCAATCCACCAGAACCCAGAACTGTTCTGGTGCATAATACACATTAAAGTCTCATTCTTCCAGCATAATGATAAAAAAAAGAGGCATGGTCTTTCATGAAACAACAGCCATAAACATAAAATGTGCATGAAAGAGGCAGAATATTAGGCTACATTGCCTGCCTCTCTAAAATGTCATGCCATGTCCCGTGCCTTACTGTTAACCTGTTGCAAACTCTGTCTTTGATGTTAGTGACTTGGGTTTGGTTTTGGAATGGACTTTAAAAAGCATCTCTAAATTATATCCTCAGGTTTGTGTGCACAATTCCTAGTCACCCCCAGAAGGCTATGTCTTCTTGTGGCTGAAGACAGAATTTAGCTTCCAGGTGACAATTGAAATGCCTGCATCCCAAGTAGTTTTGGCTCATCACATTTTCACTGTCTTTTGAGGTCCATGGAATATCTATTGTTCAAAGACTTTAGGGTGACTCTGAAGAGGCTGGATCTTATCTGAGGGAATTACAGAGCCTAAACAATTTCTTCTCATTACTTGGTGCTGGTAACATTTTAATGAAGGATGAGGAAATCTTTTGTTTCCTTTCTGTTTTTCATTAGTTTGTGGATATGAGGAACTGGCGTTTGGAGGCAGTAGATGAACGTACGGACATTCCAGTCACTTTCAATCCAGTCAGTAACAGTGTGGTGGCTGATGTTCAAGAATTGCCAGCTTCTGTGCATAATTTGTACTGGAAAGCACCACCATCTTACCTAGGAGAGAAGGTAAATGCCACCTAACTTTTCTGGTTTATTAACATGTAATCATTTTTTCACCAGCACCATTGATAAAGAGTCTTATTGTTTTTCTTAGATAATTTTCTCTCTCTTCACTTGTCTCTTTTACCTGTCATGCCAGGAATCACAATATTTTACTTCAGAGTACAGTTTCGAAATTAACTGAAAACATAGAATTAATTATGTTGCTTGGTGCCCGACAGGTCTTAATGTGAACAGCATGATCAAGTGCTCAATGGCTCCAATGTCTCAAGAAGCTGGTACCTACAGCTGCTTTTCTGAAGCCCAGAACATGTAGAACTTGCCACTGTGGCTGCTCTGAAACCCAGAACACATAGGGCTTGTCGATTCTTTAGATTCTCGAGAGTATGTCCCGGGCAGATTTCCAAAAGAACCAAAGCTGATTATGTGCTCAGTGGCACACAAAAGCCCCCAGCCTTTTGCTTTGGATATGCTGCTTGGGAAGAGCATCAATTGGTTTTCTACCCTTTGTGTTCTTCGGGCTGCTTGCTGCTCTATCGACCCATGCATGGGAGCAGCCTTCTGTTCATGGTTAGTGGCATCAGCATCTCAGCCTGAGGATCACACCAACCAGGGGACTTTGCTAATGGTGACTTGCAGGCCCAGAGCCTCCCTCTTTGGATCTCTGATAGTGCCCATACTTACCATCCAGTTGTAGGGCACACAGGCTTTTCAGGTGCAATCCTGCTGGCACATAAGATAAAACAAATGGTGTAGACACTAAGACGTGAAAGATGGTACAATTTTTGGTTTCTCTTAGTCCTCATTTTAAAGCCTAGAGCAGTATTCTTCCTCCTGCTCTCCTATCCTCAGAGGTGTATATATATATCTCAGGTGAACAGAACATTTTGTGAGGGTGTTTTTTGTTGGTGTTATGAAGGTTCTTTTTCCAAAACCCACAAATTATTTTTGAAAGAAATTTAATGCTAAAGCACACATTATCTCCTGCAGTGTTAAACCAAAAGTACTTTTGTTGTTTCATAACAAGATATAAAGCAGGCAATAACCCTTTTTAAACACAGCTGTTAAGATCAGTGCTGACTTATGTTGCATGTCCCAGTACTTTCCTAGGCTCTAGCTCTGCCATTACTTGCTGTTATTTATAACGACAACACTGCAAATAAAATAGTTAGGTTCTGCTTTTGCTGTACACTGTGTATGAGTGTATATTTTAGCACAGGCAATACTGCAGTAATGAAAGTCCCATCAAAATGATATCTAGTTGTGAGTTTGCAAGTTCAAAAATTTACCAATTATTCATGTTATTGTGTTTTGAAAATGTCAGGGTTTGGTCTGCTTCCAGTGATAGCATCTCTTTTGGAAAATATGAACAAGATCACTTCAGCTATTTTTCTTTATCATGAGGGTATAAATACTGTTTTCCATTATCTGAAACCTTTAAACTGGTTCCACTGGAACATTTATATCTAGCAGAGTATATTTTCTTTCCTCTCTCTGTCTTTTGTTTACAAAGTTAAAGAAATCAAATATAAAATATGTAGCAGTACAGAAACTAAGAGTAATTTAGAAATTCAGATCACATTGTCCCCATTTTCTTTCATTTCATTCTATTTAACAGACCATTTTTGATATTAGAAAATAAATATTGTGCTACAGAATACAGAGGTTAGTTTGTAATATCGATATTGTCCTGTTAAAAAAAAAATGAAAAAGTAATTTAACAGCCTCTCAAATGTTGCAGTTCTGAAATATGTTAAATAGGAAATCTAATCTAATTTGAATTTCCTTGTTTTTTTTTAAGAATTCATTTATACAAGGGGATTTGATTGTGTTGGCAAACTATAGCCAATGTTCAATAATGCTTTTGAAAATGCAGTTGGGTAAGGAGAATAATATTAATTATGGGCCTGTGATTCACGGAATAAATTTAGTGTTGAGATGTCGATATTTTGTTTGTAATTCATCAGAGATATGCAAAGGGTAGATGGAACGCTGGAGCTTACCTGTAGAAGAGCAGAACCTGACAAAGCAGCTCTTCCGTGGTAAACCAAGGATAAGATGTAAAGGCAAATGAGAAAGGTGCAAACCAAAATAGGACATCCATGGCAAAATGCCTGATATCACCTGGTACCCACAAACCTTCCTTTGAGGCTCTTCTTGGAGCAAAACCTATCTAGGCTGTGCCTGGAGCTTCCTTTGCTCCAGGGTGTTTTGTAGTGAGTCCCTCACACAGCACCCAGGGATGTGCTCTGTTTGTCAGGTGGTTCATCCACACTTGTCTCTGTCTGTTCTGGAAAGCAGCTCCATGTTCTGTTGGGTTTGAGGCCACCCGTGGTCACCTGTAGCTGATTTCAGCTCAGCCTACAGGTATAGTCTGCTTACAACAGGGCTGATACCAGTAGAAATCCTGTCCTGAAGGTAGAGCAAAGGAATCCTGACTGGATTCATGTTTGCAGTAAGTTTAGGAAATGCTGGCTTTAAACATGCTTAGTCTGCCTTATTTTCATCCATGGCTATTCATGACGTTCACCATCACTTTCACTGACAGTACGATGTCTGTTCTTGATGCACCAAATCTGCTCTGTACAGTCAGAGGAAGAACAATATTCATGTAACCATGTGATTTCTCCACAGCATGGGTGTTGTGAACCCAAGTATTAAAAAAAACCCATGATGCAGGTAACCTTTCAGAATACATTATCTGCTCATCTGTCAGATACACACAGTAAGCAAAATAGAAAGTAACTTCTTCCAAATGGCAACATTTTCATATTTTTTCTAAAGAACAAAGAGTAAATGTGTTATTTATAGTGCTAGGAGATGAGATAAACTGGAATAAAATTTTACTTTAGTATCAAGCAGTAAAGTATCTCTGGTGTTTTGCATTTTGTTACAGCTTTCTTCATATGGTGGCTTCCTAAGTTACCAAGTGAAATCTTTTGGCTTACCTAGTGAGGGCATGGTTCTTCTGGATAAGAAACCTGATATACGACTAACAGTAAGCCTTAAAATAATATTTTTTTTTCTTATAAGCAATACAAATACCATTATTTTTATCTTACTTTACAACTATGGCAAATTTTCCTGTTATAGTATACTTAACTATTAAAACATTAACTTAATTACTAAAACCACTAACTATTTCTATAAAAGTGATTTTACTTCATTTTGCTCAAAGCCATCAACATATCTCTGTTGCCAAAGTAACATATAATTAAGCATAACTGATTTGCAGAGCAAGTAAAAAGATAAACCAGGATTTTCTCTGTAGAATATGCCTGTGGAAAAAAAAAAATAATCAATGCCTTGCACATTTGTCAACAAGTATGACCTCAGCTCTGCAAAAGATGCCCTGGATTTTATGAGTAATTAATCTAATTTTCTGTGAGATTTTTTTCAGCATAAAACTAAGCATAATTATAAGACTTCAAGGGACTGAAATAAAAATGCAATTTAGGTTGACAGGTTTTTAATTTAACCACTTTAGAGCCAAAATTGAAATCTTTTACTCTTTGTTGAAACTCCCAACGGTATCAGAAATACCAATTGAATGCTCTAGGATTCTTATGGGAAATGTACCTCATAAATTGCTACCATAATACCCATAGTTGCTGGTGTACCAGGATGCAAAAAAGAGTTTTCAAAATGCAAACCCATTTTTATTCTAAAGTAATAACTAGTTCCTCTGAAAGTTGATTAGCATTAATTTGATTCTCTTGATGTTTTACTTGAAAGCAAGGTTGTTAATATGCAAAAGCAGTGAAAATCCTGCTGGCACCAGAACACAGTGCTCACTATACCAATTTCCTGAGAAAAAGACATTTAGTGTTCCTAGTTTTACTCAGTTTTGATTCCCCAAATAACAGGATTAGCATGCTTCACCAAATTTTATTGCATCTGAACACTTTCCCATAACAAGTAGTGGAACAGCAATGTTATATCCTCATTCTCACATAGGGAAAACAAATGGAAGTTGTTTATATGGATCCCAACAACCCACTGCCTGATCGTCATTATTATGGCCGAGTGCAGCTGGTTGAGGTAAGAACTGAAAAAGGAATATCCTTCTATTTTCCTTCCAGAGTCACATAAAAAAAGACACATGCAGAATATGTGCAGAAATACCAAATACAAGGTAACAGTGAGGAATATAAACTTAAACACTGTAGACCTTAAATATAAAGACCATTTTTTCTCTCTATTGCCACATTGAACCTGGGTTCTGGTTCATGACACCTAATTTTAGCACCTCTGGGTTCGGCATCTTGTCCAATGTAGCCCTTAGCATTCCCTCCAGGGCCAATGGAGTAATGCTGAATCAGTGCTCAATAGAAGGTGATTCATTGCAGCCACAGACTGTACTTAAGAGGGATGGAATGAATTGTTATCTGTTTTCCTTGGTGTCTAGGTTCTAGTTTAGAATGGGGTGTACAACATTCAAGTAGGTGAATTCAGCAGGGATTATTCCTACCTTAAACCTGTGCTCAGAAGGTCGAACTGGGTAATTTATTTCATATGTAGGCAAAGAAGATGTTTATTCAGCCAAATTCCATGTTCAACAACGATGTGTTTATTAGCAGCAAGAAAGCCCTGAAAGATTTGGTTTCTAAGACTTCACTTATTCTTAAAAACAAAAGCATTTTCCTTGACATTTTTTATGGTTTGGTGGGTGATACCTTGAAGAAATTTGGATGACTGAGGAAGAAGCTACAGGCTTCTTCACTTTTTAATACATCAGAGTCATACTTACCTTGCACAGTCAAAGCTACGTCCCTTTCTTTAAGCTCATTATTATTTTTCACACCCATTGTGCATCTGCTCTCCTGGACTCTATTACCCCACACCAGTTGGCACTAGACAAGTCTGCTCCATGGATGTTTTCTCTCTTTTTCTATCCTCTGGTCTTCTTCGAAGCTACTCTTTCAAGCAGCTGCAGCGCTGTGCTCATTTTGCACCCCTTACTGTGTAGGGCAGCTTCAGGCACGCCGGCAGTGGTAAGCTGGTATCCCGAGAAGAGCTGATGACAATCCTGTCCAGGTTGGATGGCTTGCACATCCGGGCCCTGTACTTCACGGAGACCCAGCGCCTGACTCTTGGCGAGGTGGGGCTGGAGGAGGCCACCGGCGAGGGCAGCGGCAGCATCGCGCACAGCGTGGAGGTGTGCGCCTGCCCGCCTGAGTACGCCGGTGACTCATGCCAGGTAGGAAACATTCGCCTCCATACTGTGCCATTACCTTCTGTCTTTTGCCTACAGCTATACATACTGGGTTAGTTAGAAGAGCAGGGTGGTTGCTAAAGTAATTAAGTGTGCTTCCTGTAAGCCTGTGCACTTTCAATGGCTCAAGTGCTTTCATCGCCTAAGAAGCACCGTGCGGTTTTTCTACTCGTGATTGCTTTTATGGAACTGCAAAAGCAATTTTGCATATGTAAGGCACTATAAAGAGGGATTCTTCCATGATGCCCTCTGAGAGGCTGAATAATCTCTTACTTTACTAGAGAGAAGGTCAGAATTTACTTAATTGAAATCTGTGAGACCATACACAGTACAGAAGAGTCCTGGTGTTTCTTGTTTTAGCAGGGTCCAAGGGAAGTAGCCTGAACCCAGATAATTCAGGATGCTATTTGTGTAGAAAAACATGTGAAATCTGAAATTAACATATTTTCAAAAAATATTTGGAGATATGTTTATGAAAGATAGCATAGACTTGGAAAAATAATACTGTTAGCCAAAGACTGGAACTACAGCTGTATATCCTGTTCCTGATGCAGTTCCTGTAGTGTAATTCTTTTGCTTGTCGTTTTACTTAGCTTAGAGCTTGGCGACTGCCATGTGTGAGCACTCAGTGCAACAAAATAAAGCACCAGAGAGATAAGCAGTGTACAAAGTGCACAAAATATGAGGAATTACTCTCAGAAAATGGTTGAGAATTACCATAAAGTAGCAATTGCTGTCTAACCTTGAAAAACCTTTTTGAATTGAGAATGAATGAATAATATCCAGGCTGGAGCAGCTGCAGAGAGACTGAACAAAACCATGTATGGCTGGCTTACATTTTGTGTGTGCATCCACTGCTCAAGGCAGCTAATTCATCATCTATAGAGTAACCATTCTGGAAATATTTTTGATTTTTTCACACTTGTGTTGCTCTGTGCCACACACACATTTATGAGCATTGACGGAAAATTCTACTGCCATCCCATTGCTTTCAACATACTGCCTTAGTAAACTAAGCTTTTGGTGTTTTTTATGTAACCTGGTGAAAATACAAAGCCGAAGGAAGTGATCAAGACACTCACGGGGAAGTTTGTAAGCCCTGTATGTTTATGCAGCATTACTCAGGCAGTGATTTACTGCTCTAATCACCAAGCTCTGTCTGGCTGCCTTAGGTGGGGAGGAGGTGATGCCTGCCACACCCCAACTTAGGTATATATTGAGCTACAGGAACTGCAGAGTTACTTGTTAACCTCAGGAACAGTGCTGTGTGCTGAGCAATTTGACTCACGGATAAAGGTGGGGCCCATCCCAGCCCAGAACCTCATTAATCTGAGTCAGAAGCTGGAGAGGAAGGGGGCGTAATAAGAGAAAGAGCAGCGAGCACCAAAGGGAGAGCAGCGAATGTTCACAGGGGAGCCAAAGTAAAATGATGGCCCAAGCACAGAGGCCAAGAAATATAGGATGGCTGGTTGTCGCTTTAGTGTCCTTTGGGCATTGTCTAGCACAAGATATACAGCAGAGGCTCTATAATCCCCATCTTCAGGAGAAGAGTCAGTGGCAACAAGTTCAAATGGATTTTTATCCAAAAGAGGTAATCTTCTCATTTTTTCTTCCTCCCTTCCTTCCTTCTTTCACTTTGTTTTTAAATGAACTGATTTGGTAACAACTTATATATTACTTAATATAGAAGTAATGAGAAGATTAATCATTTGTCTCAAAGTATTTTACTAACAAAATTTTGTACAAGAGGTTTGTTTTAAATTGCTGTTTACTTGAAAACAATGATCCTAAAAAGCAATTGAAAGTGCCTGGAGCTTTATCTTCATGTGGAATCAATTTATCATTTGTGTGGAATCACAAATGCTGCTTCAAAAACAAAGTGCCCACATACTCCAAATGTGTCATTTTAAAGACAGCATAAATAGAAAAACAAAAGACTGTAGAGATTTTTTTCCAAATGCAATTAGATGTATTTTTTAAATGCCTGGTTTATTTTTCTCTCAAAAAAGAGACTTTAAGTAAATAAAATGTATATGCATTAGAGCATATATTTTACTCTAGTCATGCTGTTTAATGTATTTCAGGCCCTGGTTTCTTCCAAGGCTGTGTATATTGGTTCCCTGTTGTTCAGTGAAAATATTCGCCCTTAAAACAATATGTCTGAAAAGCTTCAACTGTCTATTCTAAATTTAGTCCTAGCTCACACTGAAGTCAGTATTCAAAGCTGTTGGTGGTATAAGTAACTTGCATGCTTTTTTTTTCCTTAGTTATCCTGCATGTAGAAAAGGCAAAGGTGCCAGTAGTGATTGTTGTTTCAACAGCAATAATTCAATATTCCTTTTGGAATCTGCTTTGCAAGAGTTGGCTATTTTTTTTCCCTGTGGTAGTTCTATCATTGAAAAATTCTCTTGTTAATCCTGCCTCTGCATAAATACTTATCCCTCCAACCACTGGAATGTGATTTGTGACACCATCCACAGACCCTCTGCTCTTCAGATTGGTTCCGTCAATCTTGGTGGTGTACTTACTATAAGGAAAGATTTATGTCTTTAGAGTTCAACTGTCGCTTGTTTTCTGCGTGTTGTTGGGGCCAGCCCCTGCCTGTGAGGCAGAGGCAAGGCATAGGTGCAGCTCAAAAGAACATTGCTGGAGGCAGGAACCTGGGAGGTGCTGGCTTCGTGGGGAGCACGGCTTTCTCCCAGCTTCTGTAAGCTCCTCCTTGCACCACACCAGATTAGTTCCTAGGGGAAAAGAGCTACAGAATAGGAAGGACAGACTGAAGTCCAGTCATGTTTAGTGTGGTTGGTGTGCCTAGAGTATTCCAGGAGAAGATGGGTGTGAATTTTTGATCTGTATGCAGAAGGGCTTAATTTCCCTGCTCATGCCAAGCAAGAGCCTGGTTTTAACATATTAGTTACTACCTCCCTGCTGTAGGCGAACAAACTTGATGTCTCTTTCTTCATTCAGAATGTCCCTCTGGTTCAGCTCCTTGTTAAAATCCAACTGTGATCTGACAGGCTGTGCTCCTACTCCTGTGCCTTCAGTAGCTGGAACATTCTTCTCATGTTTCCCCAGTCTCCAGGGCAAGCCTGTACTTAGAAACTAGACCACTGTATGTTTTGTTACATCACCTAGCTATGTCTAGGTGTGGCTTTAGCTCTTGGTAGACTAAAGTGTGGAAGTCATGATGAATATATGTAAAAAGTATCCAGAATTGTTTCCAATGAATACACTCTAGTGAAATTATTATCAAGATATAACCACTAATTAGTATGTGAGATTTCGAGGTGCTCTTCTTTAGTTCACACTACAATGTTCTTGTACTCAAATATTTTTCTGTGGTTTAGAAATCGTATTCTACACCTTTTTACGTAGCCACAGAAAATGTGTTTTTTTCTAAGGTTAGAGTCAAAATTATTAAATCATCGCTGCCGAAGTGTCTAAAGCAGAGGGTTCAGATGAAACTTCTTCATCTCCATTAATTGCTATTTACTGCATTAAAAAATTTAAACAACATTATGAGCTTAGGAGAACTTGAAAATAAATTCATGCCTTCACTGCTCCTTGAAAATGGAAAACAAAATACACATCCTGTAACATATAAAACTTTCTACCAATGCTCACCAATCTTTTTTCTTTCTTCTTGATGTCCAGGAGTGCGGCATTGGATTTTATCGTGAGAACAAAGGAATATTTGCTGGACGCTGTGTGCCCTGCAACTGCAATGGAAATTCAAATAGATGTCAAGATGGTACAGGAAAATGTATTGTAAGTAATTAGTAACATTTAGTAAATTAATGGGAAGAAAAGAAGAAAAAAACATTTATCTTACTGCATTATGGACCATACAGTATTGTTAAATGCCAAGCATGTCTCATTTTCTAAATTTTATATTGTTAGTTTGCATAAGATGTGTACACTTAAATGTACATTTAATGTAACTGTGGTTGATTGGAATAATTTGTGTTCTTGTCTTCATTTCTTTCTTTCCCTGTAATTTTTCTTAGCACCTGGTTACAAAAAAGTCACCAAACTTGTACATAAGGAAACATTTGTAGTTATTTATAACAAACCTGGGTCTTATCCTGACATATGCAGTCTTGAGCTTTATAAAAATGTACTAGGATATGTTTGTATAACAATGACAGTACTTTCATGTATAGCATAGGGCTTTGCAAAATCTTGTTTAATCAGTTTCAGTGGATCTCCACTAATCATAGTCTACAGCTAGATGGGTTAAAAAATATTGAATTAAATAAGATTAAATGAAATAGAAGTTTGATTAACTAGAAGATTTCAGCTGTTACAGAAGGTATGATGGGGTAGATTTTGCTCCCTGGCACTCTGTATTAAACCCAAAGCAGCCCCATGGGATCAGCCCTCAGCAACGGAAGTGTGACACTTGGCTGACTATGCTTCTCCAGTGTATAGCCATGATGCTTCTCTGAATAGTTTATCCTGAAAAATTTCCCCTTCAAAGGCTTTTACTAATTTTTCATTTACTGTGCAAATGAGCACCTTGCCAACATCTTTCATGGTCTGTCTTTTCTGTTACTTCTTCCTTCTTCACAGTGCATCCATTCTGCCTGCGGTGCATTCCTGCGTGTTATGTCATCCTCCCTGACTTTGTTTCAACCAACCATGTTGCTTTAATGGAAACTATAAACCAATTCAGCACATTCTGGGAGATGACTTACAGGCTCCTGCTTTGGAGGGGCAGGGCAGGCTGTGACAGGAAAGTGCTGCGGCACAGCAAGAAAGATCAAGAAGTTTCACTTCAGATTAGAATTATGAAGGCAAATTTTACTTTCACCTCATGAAGTATGTGATATAGGTTTTTCTTTATCCTGTCCTTCTCACAGCTGAATTAACTTTCAGATATGTAGAGCTAAATGAGCCCTTGGTCCCAGGCAGGCGAAATCATCCAGAATAATGTGGTGAAAAATGAAAGCCCTGAGGGCCTTTATTTCCATCATGAACTTCCGCCCAACCAAGAGCAAGTTTGCCTCTCTGTAGAGGAGCCATGGGACAAAAACCCGACATGGTGCAGAGAAGACAAGGAGGCTTCCCATTGTGGAGCCATCAAGTTCCACATCCAAAGTGCAAAGCTTGTTCACTTGGCTTCCTGCTGCTCACCTGGAGCCCGAGACCTGAGTATCTGCATTTGTCAGTGTCCTTCTAGTGACAACCTCCAGACACAGCTTTGTGAGAAAGGCTAAGCCCAGGCTGGCTCCTTCCCCTGTGCAGCAGCAGAGCCCTCCCTGGCTCAGGCAGTCGTTCTCCCACTTCCACATGCTGCTGGAAGGAGAGAAGTGCTGCTGGAAGAGGGGAACAATGGAGGGCAGGGGGAGGTGGACAAGAATGAAGACCTTGGTTCTCATGTGAAGGGAAAAAGCATTTCTTTGCCATTAATCAGGCTTTGTGTGTTGTGGTCCCTGCCCTTCCTCCTGGAAGGCACATTCCCTCAGCAGCAGCATGGTGCCGAGACTTGCTTATCCCATGGCATGTTGCTTCATGTCACGGAGCCCCACGTGTTTGACGTGACCTCAGTGGCTCTGCTGTGGCCCTGACACACTGCTCTGACTGCCTGGTACCATATGGGTGCATATGGAGTCAGATGGAAATTTTCCTTTAGTGTTTGCAATACTAGATGGTTTGGAGGTCTGTGACTCCAGGGGTATCTCTGACCCTGTAAAACTCAAAGGAAGACTCATGAGTGGGTTGCTGCTCTGGCTTCATTGCACTGTGCCTAGTGAGCTCCAACTTTTATATGTCATGTAGCTAGAGGAGCAGCAGGGCACATTCAGGGTGGCTTATATGTGAAATAGCTGAAATTTTCTTTGCAATTAAAAAATTGCTTCAGTTTCTATAGACAGAGTGAGAAAAACAAAAACCCAGGAGATAAACTTCTGGGAGGAGGTTGCTCTAAGATGAAACCAGCACATATATTTTAAATAGATCTCTTTTACTCTTTCTACAGTTGAATTTATTATTCAGGATTATGAAAACTGACAGTAATTTTTCAGAAACAGTCTGAATTTTCTATTAGGCTTTTGCAGGAACATATGCACCAGCTTTTATAGAGGCCACATTTTAAAATTATTTCTTTTGCAAATATAGTGCCTTTGTGATACTTGGCATTTAACTTCGTGTCAAATGACTCATCTGGGAATTGGAGCTTCTCCTGTTCTTTCCCAGAACCAGAACTTTTTATCAATGAGCCACAGATATAATTCTTTAACCAAAATGAAAACAAATTAGGGGTTACCACTTGAGGGAAGAGCTCATGGTTGAGGGAATCTGGTGTGAAGAAATGTGAAGGAGAATGGATTTTTAGAGAAGATGGGAGACACAGAGCTATTTCCCATTTGTAGGGAAAAATGCCCTTCTTCTGCCAGTCATGGTAGTAGGGTCTTCAAACATAGCCCTGAGCCACTGAGGTCCCTGAAATGGAAGCACAGGTTGCTCAGTGACTGCTTCCAGCTGATTTCCTGCTTTCTTTTTCCCATCTTTTGCTCTGTTAGTAAGTCTTCTGTTCTGTGGGACATTTGATCAGTCTGCTGCACAGAAGACAAACAGTTGTAGAACTTAAGAGTGCGAATGCCCCTTGACTGTTAGTCATTTGATATTTTTCTTATGGTTGCTTATGTATTTTATGCTGCTTATGTATTTGAACAACATCTATTTTAAATTAGTGACACTTTAGGTAATGCAAAGACAGCTTCCTTATTCTGTACCCATAAAATATAAACGTATGACAATTAGACAGCACTAGAATTAAGAATGCTTCTAAACCAAGATACAATTCCCAACAATTTTATCATGGGAAAAGGGGATCAGCTGCATCAGTTTTAATTGTATTCTTAGCTTTTGCTTTCTATTATTTATTCCAGTTATTACAGACAAATACAAGTAACACATACACTGGAAAAACTACATGAAATTCAATTCTGGTCTGAATCTACTAAGAGAAACATTTTTGTATTTATTTAATGATATTTTTAAAGGAATGTACTTGGACTCAATTGATTGCATACTTTTAGATGGTATCTGCCTTCTAAGTGTTAAGATGCAAAATTTAAAGATTTATGTAAATGTAGAGACTTTCAATTGTAATATGAAGACAGAGAGAGAGCATTAATGGAATGCTCCTTTACTAACTATGCATCTGGCTGAGTTTCTTTAAAAATATGTTTAATTTCAACTTATTTTATGTTTAATTTCAACTTATTTTATGTTTAATTTCAACTTTTAAATTCAATTTTTTTATCTGTTGCTTTTCCACAAGAGGGAGTAAATTGTGCTTTGTACAGTTAGAAAGTGGACTGAAACTGTTCTGTCCTGGCTGTGGAGGCAGTCTGGCAATAAATGCTTGATTATATGGAAGAAAAAGAACATATTCTCTGAGTAAATAGACTGTATTTTTTACAATAATAGTAAAGCTGTAGTGAGTGATAAAGTACTGCTAAATGTCTTGCTTACTTCCTTTCCAAGGACTGCCAGTATAATACTGCTGGGGAGAAATGTGAGCACTGTAAAGATGGTTATTTTGGAGATGCCACTCAGGGTTCCTGCCGGGAATGCCCTTGCCCATATACAAACAGGTACAGTAAAAGCTTGTAAGAAGAGTCAAGCAGGGGAGGGAAGAAGAAAAAGGGAGGAAAAAAAA